TGATGAAATGTAGCTCTCCACGTTCACGATCACAATGTGTGCGGCCTTTTTTGGCCACCGATAAACCTGTGTGTGGATATATAAACTGAATGTTATGCCAATAATTAGTTGTTTAGTTCAGTTGTCTACCTGTAAAATTTCAGCGTAGTACATATAATAATTTACGAGATAATTAAATAAAAGTCATTAGAAGGTGCAAGACCGTGGTAACCCGACCATGTTTAGGTGGTTACAAAAAAGCGATCACCCAGTACATTGTGCTGGCTTTTAAAATATGTAGGATATTATTTGCAAGTTTACTACGGATATGTACATAAGTGTTACAAAAAACTACGTTTTTTAAATATTTTTTATTTAGGATTGTTTATTGCATAATTAGTAATCAGCCGGGAGATTAGGTATTGTTTTGAATGCTTTTGTTTTCTCGTAATGTTTAGGTGAATTGTTTATAGTTGTTCATAGAATTGATACCTGCGTAGTATTTGTTAGTTGAAGTTTAATTTTAGGGTAGGTATAGGTAATTTAAGAAATATGAAATGAAATGATAAGTTTTGAAGAGTGTAACGTATGCGTTGTAAATAGGTATTTTGTGAATAGATGGGGTTTTTTTTAAGTGATGAATCGACTTAGGCTAGCATATCGCGAACAAACTCTGTATTGCATTATTTCTGTAATAATGTTGGAGAAAATAAAATATTTGATCACAAAATCGCGGTGAGTTAAATTATAATAAAATAAATTATTTATGTAAAATTAGTAATAAGTGATATATCACTTACCTAAAACCTAAAAGTTATGATCGTTTTTAATTTGTTCACCCTGAACGAAATTTCAATATTAGCATTAGGAATTAATATCCTAAGACAAGAATTGACAATTACTTCAATTGAATCGAATTAGCATTAATGCCTATTATTAGTAATTAGGTACACACATATTGAAGAACTCTCAAGAATACGATAAATATTTGCAAAAATAGAAAGCGGAAGCGCACACGTACTTTACAACACGTATATTATCTGCCTAAGGGTCAAGTTTAGTGCACTAGATGCAAATTGCAAACAATGAAGTATCCCTTCGCCCCTCCCCTCCCGCGTTCTAGCGAAGGATGTATTATCAGCGATTCTTGATTGACAAATATTATCTGACCAATAATTTTATCTATAAAAATGTATCACTTTCACCCGATAAATTAAATTACCGTTATTATATCAAAATATCATTCAACAACTGTTCGTTTTTAACAGAAATCAACAGTCACAGGCTCAACGCTTAACGGTAGGTACATAGGTATAGATAATTCTCGGTTCTAGGTATAGACCACAGAACAATATTACCTACTCTTAGGAGGTATACGACTGTTGGGCGATGCAATGTTGATGCATTCTAATTTACAACTGTATTCTTCAACTATTCGGTCTATTTTAACTTATTGTAGATGACTTGTTGCTTTAAATATTTTGATGCATTCAAGTCTAAGCTCTATACACCCCAAAATAAAATACAATTACTTTAGTGTTATTTCTTTACAAAAAAAAATCAAAGAAATGAAACGATTTCTTATTGGTTTAAATTTTCGTTTTATTGTAGTCAGGTGAATCGTTCATACATGTATGTATCTACATATTTATAATTTTAGCGGACCAGTGCAGATTTTCTGTTGATTGTAGCTCCGGTAGTAAAAAAGACTAAATAAATTTTAAATAAAGAAACTAGTGCTTAAGATCAATTAGGGAAAAAACAAAATAAATAATAGGTAATAATAATGAATAAATATTGAATGTATTTAACACTGTACGCAACTGTACCGAAATCGTAAGGTGTATTACACTAAACATTTTAAAAGACAGCGCAATGTACTGGGTGATCGCATTTTTGTAACCACCTAAACATGGTCGGGTTACCACGGTCTTGCACCTTCTAATGACTTTTATTTAATTATCTCGTAAATTATTATATGTACTACGCTGAAATTTTACAGGTAGACAACTGAACTAAACAACTAATTATTGGCATAACATTCAGTTTATATATCCACACACAGGTTTATCGGTGGCCAAAAAAGGCCGCACACATTGTGATCGTGAACGTGGAGAGCTACATTTCATCATAACTTTTTAGTCACTTACAGTATTCTTACGAAAATTCGTATACATTTGAAGGTAGTTACAAGCAATAGAATAACGTTTCAAGTAAGTCTTTAGAGGTCTTATTTAAAGTGTTAGGACGTATTGAAGTGTTTTCATACTTACCTAAATAATTTTTAAACGGTCCATTATTTTTGTTATTTTATTGTCGAACAAATTAAAACTAATCCTTAAGAAGTTATGTACAAAAGATGGTTACAATCCGCTTACCCGTTTCAGAGATCCAGCAAACCCACAAACGTTACTCCAGCAGGATTTCGAATAACTTCGCACCCGAAGAAAATACAAATACCAAATAAGTTGTAACATTTACCTAGTCCAGATAACTAATTATTTAGCTAAAATTTATTTCAATATTACAATTAAAAAAGAAAATTTCTGGCTGCGGTAACGTTTCAAACGTTACCCCAGCAGGAAATGTTTTTTTGAAATAACTAAAAAAGTTTAAGTGAAACAAATTTAAAAATGTGCCTAACAATTACAGAAGGGGAGCAACTAATTATCTATAACGTTTAAATGACCATTTTCGACATTATTTTGCTGGGGTAACGCACACGTTAGTTTATTCATTTGTATTCAACATAGACATGCATTAGTTCAAAATATTTTTTTTTAATTTTTTAATATTACAGTATAAAATCGAAAAAAAATTAGATATGATATAAGAAAGAAAAAACGTTAAACCTCATTTCCCAAGAGTGCCATTTTGGCGCATTAACTTTTAACTCTTCGCTTCGCTCTTTTTCTTTATTTTTTCTGCATTTATATATAATTAAAATAATATAATAGCCTTATATTCAGACACAAAAAAGGATATATACAAAATAATGATCTTAAGTTAACGACTCTGCCGAGTCGATGACATCGATAACTTTGTCTGTTTGTCCATCTTTGGCAAAGGCCTCTTCTTCTTTCTACCCTACTTGGTTTAGAGCTTTCCTTGTCCATAGTATTTCTGCTATAATCTTTATTTCGCCTTCCCACCTTCGAATGTCTGCCTCGTTTTTTATTTCTAGGTTACCAAATCACTATCTTTCTGTTTTTTATTTTTACACTAGCCATACCCATTATTATCATATGAGTAAGATTTTTGCAATAGATCCTCAACATCTCCCTTGATGAGCGCTAGTGGATAAAGGCCTTGCTGGAGCCACTGGGTCTCAGCAGATTTGACGGGAAGCGGCTGCATGGCTTCACTTTAGTGCCGTGGAAAACCGAAGTTCTTGGTATGCGTTACATGCGTTACCACAGTTGCGGCCTCACATCTGAGTCTCACCGTCCACAAATACGCCGCAACGGAGACGCATTATTACTTTGTGCCTATTGTGGTGGAGACTTTGGGCAGTTGGGGGTTGGAAGGGGACCGACCCCCCAATTTAAATTCCGAGTCCCCAATTTAATTGCGGAGATTGATTGCCGAGTTAGGGATAAAGGTGGTGACTCCCGCTCCAGCTCGTTCCTGGTGCAAACGATGTCCGTTGCAATTCAGCAAGGCAATGCTAGCAGTATTATCATGGGCACCGTTGCACCGGGAGCGATGCGGGGCGAGTTATATGATTTGACTTGAATTGTATGTATCCATGAATATAGTAATAAATATTCACAAGTTAGATAAAATGTGAACTAATATAAATGGTTTATATTCCGAGTAAATGAGACTGAAAGAAATAAAAAAATATTATATTATTTTTGTATTATAATGTTTTAAATAAGTACCTACACTTTTTTCAGTAAGATTTAATATAAAAAAAACGATAACTTGATTTTATTAGCTTATTTCTGATAGTGGCACATCACAATTTAAGAATTGCAAAAAATGACAATTTAAAACCCATGTAATCCAAGAGGTACCGTTTGACGTTGCATACTTTTCAAGACGAAATAACTTTGTACTCACACAATTTCAATAACCTTTAAATTTATTCCGTTGATACACAGCAAAATAACCAATTATACACAATAGATGTTGTTTTTCAAACTTTGTTTCAAAGTCAAGTAGTGAGGTCCTTTACCGTAGTGTAGCGGCTCTTCAAATTTACTTGATTACGAAAAACGAATACGTTAAAAGGTACAAAAAATCGAACTTATTAATTTTCAATTCATTGAAATCAAAGAGAAAAGATAAGTAAGGGTTTGGAGCATATACCCTGTGGGTATTTTACTAAACTATAATGTATAATGGGTATTTTTTTTAAGTTGTTGCATGTAGGTTTCGATCTAGGAACACCTAAAGTGTTTTTTCATGGAAGAGGGGGCAAACGAGCAGGTCATCCAATGGGAAGCGACTATGAGCGCCTCTAACTCAGGAGTCACAAGCGCGTTGCCAGCCTCTGAGGAAGGGGTACGCTCTTTTCTGGAAGGTTAGAAATCGTATCGGTCCGGAAATACCGCAGCCGATAACTTGTTCCACAGGTTGGTAGTGCGAGGCAAAAAGTATCTTGAAACGCGCACAGTGGTGGAGTGCCGATTATCCAAGTGGTAGGGATGAAATTTTTGCCGTGTTGAACGATGGTGGAAAGTTGCAGCCGGTATTAGTTCGAACAATCCTTCGAAGCACTCTCCATGATATATACGATAGAGAATGCAGAGCGAAACTAAATCTATATGTGAAAGACAACTGTTCTGCAGTATCTAAGATGTTGTTACGAGTAGATGGCGAGTTTCTACGAGATACGAGTCGACAATTACTTAAGTCTACTAGGAGTTAAAATGATACTTTTTCGTAGTGTTCGTAGCAAATGCAGTTTAATCATATTTTTACTAAAAAAACTTCACATGATAGAACAAACAATTTTTACAAAATTTAACTTTGGAATATTTTCAGACACTGCTTACTTTCTGTGAGAAGTAATGTTAAAAGAACAGGTATTTTCTGAAACAAATAAGATGTATTGTATAAGATACTCAAAAATTAACATGCTGAAAACTGGTGACGGTAGCATTGATAGTAAACTTTTGTGTGTGCACACGACCCACCCTGGGATGTACTTATTACGCACAATTAAATAATGATAGCGTAGGGAATAAACGTTATGGTGGGTAGGATGGAAACGTACTTCATTGAAGAGCTTTGATATAGTGTGATAACAGTACATGATTCTGATAGCGAAGGAAGCCTTTATTTCAATGGTGCTGCGAATGAAACTTATATTCCAGACTCAGAAGAGGAAACATCGTCCAGTTTGAACTTAGAAAATAATACGGATTTTGACTCCTTGGTGGCTCATATCGCCCAAGAATATTCTTGTACCAGTGACACCGTACTACAGACAGTAAGAGGCTTTGAGTGGTCCAGATGTAGACAGCTGGCAACAGGCAATGCAAGATGAGTATAATTTATTTATTATAAAAGAAGTCTGATGACTTTATTTTACATGTAGTGTCTGTCACTATGTAAGGTTAAGGAATCAGTACAATTAACGTACCGTTCCTTTCGACTGCCGTTCGCGGCAAGTTCGTGTTCAAGCGCTGCGATTTTCTCCTCGTTTCTTGTCCGTTGTGCCTGCGCTCGTCGCTGTTGCTCTTCTAGCGCTAACACAATTTTTTCCAAGCGGTGGATCTGCTGCTGTTTGTTTTCCAAGGTTTTGAACAATTCTTGGATTTCGTCTGCTTTTGCCGCTATTTGCTTATTTACCTGTTAGAAAAGATTAAGTAAATATAAAACTGGATAGGTACTTTCAATTCATCATAGTTGCAGATGTGACCACCAGACCTTGCACCTACCGACTATTACTTTTTCCAAAATTTAGACAACTTTTTCAATTCAATTCCCGAGAGGCAGTACAAAATGCCTTTGAAGAGTTTGTTGCCTCCCGTACAGCTGATTTTTACAAGAAGGGCATCAATAAACTGCCAATGCGTTGGCAAAGATGCGTCGATTGCATGGGTGATTACTTCGAATAACAGAAATAAAAAAGTTTGAAAAAATAAGTACTTTCACTTATTGCATTCAAAACGGCAATTTCATAGGTAAAGACCTAATATTTAAATTAAACTATGAAATTTTTATCAATTCATTCGGCCGCTTCATACCACCGAGAATCTTATATTTTTTCACACGATTCCCACCATTTTTATTTTTTGTTTCCATAGCTATTCTCCAATTCTAATGAGGACACTGTTCGTTCGCTCTTCCCTTTAATTTTTTTTTCTCACTTCCATTGGTTGAGTTACACTAAAGCTATGTGTAAACATTAAATTGAATGCTGCGTATGAGGAACACCATTGCGGCTTCAGCACGGGTTCTCTACCAATTATTATAGTTTTATGTTTCGAGTCTTTAATCCTTGAATAACACAATTGATAAATGCTTAAGGTAAGAACCTTATTTTGATTTTGGCAATGACCTATCGAAAATTCGATTATAGCTGAGCACGTGCAAAGTTGTAAGTTTACTACCATTGTTTTCATGATAATTATAATGAACAGGGCTTATAGGAACAAATAGTAAAAAAAAATAGAAAATAAAACAAATCGCGAATCTCACGTCATCGACAATTTTCATTCGGTGCTCAAGATCTTGTTGTAACGCGCCCAGCTCACGACTCTGCTCCGTTTCTTTGTTCTTCAGCATATTAATCAACTCCTCGCGTACCTGTGTCACTTGCTACCTTATAATCAACATCAAGGTATCAGAATAAAATTAAATGTAAGCTAATGCTGATTGTTCTGTGAGTTTATAAACCGTGCGTCACGTTGCAAAAACGACATTCGTTTAAACAAATCGCTTCTATTGGCGAATACAATTAACGAACGTATCGAGTACAATGAAGCGCCAATTAACATTTAACTTTATTCGTAGAGTCGTAACCTAACAACTATTCTATAGCTCATATAAAAAGGTATTCAATTAAGAAATTAAAATATTTAAAGAACTAGTTATAGACTACTATTTCATATATCTCAAATTTTGATCTATAGAAAAAAATAAGAAACATACAAAACGAAAACAAATAGTGATTATTTTGTAAAAAGTTAATAATTGGTTGTATATATTTTTCATTGCAGTTAGTGATGGAAAAAATAGAATTAACTATCGTCATTAATCACAAAAGTTTCCTTAAATTATTTCGTCGTGCTTTCGCAGAGGCAAAAATTTGAAGTAGCCAGCAGACAAACAACACAGATTGCTGAACTTCAAATAACTTATAGCTGGCTACGACACCGTTTACGTAAAATTCCAGAAAAATATTGCGACATAAGTATTGCGACAGTGGCATAATTTTTTTAAGAAATAAATTATTTTAGAAGCCATCTGCATACATTCATCAAACACTTTCAAAAAATGCACCCGATTATTTGATCTACAAATTATAAATGGCTACTACCTTCGAAGCATTTACAAAAAGGACCTAGTAACCTTTATGACTCTTGCCTGGGCACGTGATGTCTTGTCTTGCTGCTCGAGCTGTTGATCCTTTTGTATCAACTGCTCGGACAATTCTTCATTTCGGTGCACTGCTTCAAGAAGGGCTATTCTCAAATTCATTATCTACAATAATAACAATAACAATATGATCACACGTCACCCACACGCGCGTCTGATCCGAAGTTAGGCAGAGTCTATGCTATGGTAACCAGACCATTGATAAACATTTTTACATATTACATATTTTTAAATACATATATAAAGTAGTTATGTGGTATGGTGGCAAATTATTATTTTCGGAGTTTTAAAATTGTGATTTGTAACTCAATCAAATTTAGAAGAAAGGTAGCATGAATAGTATTTTTTTTATTAGAATTTTGGTATATAATTTTAATAAATATTAAATAATTAAATATAAATTAAATGTTTTATTACCATAACATGTTGATTTTGAATTAACTGTATATTCAACTTTATAAGAATCGATTTAGTTTTATAAGTTATAATTTGATGAGTTCCGTGGAACAACCAAATTATATTTCTTTACAATTTAGTTTTTTTAGTTTTTATACTTTTTCGTTCGAAATCCTTAGATCGTTAAGCTCATCCTTAAGACAACTTGAAACTATCTGTAATGAGATCTGTATTCAAAAATCTACTACAGATCAGATAATAATAACGACCCATTACATTAACAACTATCCATTCTTTGAAAAGTTGTTAGTAAACGCATTTATTACTTTGTGTTGTAAAATTTACTTGTATTTGAGACAAATAAATAATCTGGGATACTTTACCTCCTGTTGTAGTTCTTCATAGCCATTTCCATCTGCCTGATTGAGAGTTATAGTACGATTCTGCGTTTGCAGATCGCGAATAAATTGTTCGTATTGAATCACTTTTTGTTCACTGAAATAGATCTTCAGATTATGCTGGGTTTGTTAAATTGAATACATTTATTACGTATTATAATTAAAAGGGAGATTACGTACTTTAGTTTAATGTTTTTCGTTAGTTCTCTTATTTGTAATTGCATTTTTCCTAGTATTTCTTCCTTACTTAGAAGTTCGGCTGCTAGTTTTTGCTGCATTCCTACCTTATTCTCCGTTCCCTGAAACAAGTTACCTTGAATCACGATGTCTTAGGAATAAGACAAAATTTCATCGTGTACATAAAGAATTCACCTTGGAATGGAAGTAAAAAAGCTATCTGGTACAAAAGACTGAAAAAAAAATTAGTTGTGGAATAACTATTATACTTTTTACATTAATGAATATCAAGCAAAGCGATAGTTACAGATATCTTCGTCAGCGTTTCCAAGAACCGAACTTTCTCTCGTTTACACGTTGCCATTTCCTCCTCAGTTATACGCAACGTATCTTTAGTAGATTGTAATTCTGCCCACAGGTCCATTTCTCTTTCAGTTGGTAAATCTGGAATAAAGGGATTCTTACACTTGTATTTTTAATTTTAATTCTAAAATTATATACAGGCAATTTGAGTACCAGAAATAGGTCTACTTTCAAGTTCAGATATTTTAGATGTTAGTTCTTCTATAGTATTTTGAGCATCCCCAAGGGCAGCCTCAGTCGCTTCTTTCTGCTCATTAACCCTTTGAGTTAATTGGTACTGATTTTCTAAAACAGCCTGGGACTCTTTGAGCTGATTATTTAATTCTTGCATCATTGACTTCTGCTGTGAAGCCATCGTCTCAATTTGCTGTTTCAGTTCTTGAACCCTATAAAATTAGATATATTTTTAAAACATGATAAAAATTGAAGAAAAACTCGAACGATTTGGATCGTTAATCGACTCAAATCGTTGTCTTACCGTTTTTTGCTTTGCTGATGCAAACAGACAACTAGTATTTTGAATGAAGCTTGACCAGGTAAATAAATAAATCTTTTAAGGTAAGCGTAAACTCTACATTTTTGCCACATGGATAGTTAAAGTTCTAAATACCAATATTGATATCTTTTACGCATCTCAAAGTCCGTATAAACTCTTGTCACTTACTCAAACTGCAATGCATCACGCTGTTGAACTAATTGACTGCTACTTATTTCTCCAGTTTTCAAAGATTCTTTTAATTTTCTAGCACGCGATTCTAACAATGCTTCCCTTTGTCGACTCTGAAAAAGAAAAATATCTTGAGTTTTTACATTCAGCTTTATTGTACTTTTTACGAAGAGTGTGGTAAAAGAAGAGATAAGAGAGGAAAGGTAAAAGAAGTCGCCAGACCCTGAACAGATATTTTATTTCCCATCTCGCCTAATGGAAAATGGTGAACCAGACACGAAAATCTAGAACTACTACATCTATCTGTTACATTAGTGCTCGACTTTATTATCATCAAACATATTCAAATATATATTTTTAGATTGAAGGAGCCTCGGTGACAAATTTTAATAAATCTCTTATTTCTTTCTTAACTTCAGAAATATTTGTCAATCTCACCTGGTCTTCTAAAGCCTTTACGGTGCTTGTTAGACTGGCAATACTTGCTTCAGCTTCGCGCAATTGACGATCCATTTTAGTAATACGGAGTCGAGCTTGACGTAATTGGGATTCAGTAGATCCTAATTTTTCTTTTGTTGCAACACGCGTTGCACGTTCCTCTTCTAGTTCTTTGCGTACATCCTATTTGTTTGAAGAAATACTAGTCTTATTATCTTAAAGGCGGAGTAGAACTTAGAACGGAAAATTAGTACAGCTGTTGCAGACAAAAAATAATAATAAATATAATTTACGGTATTTATACAATCCTGATTAAATAGACTTAGTTAAACGTTTCAAAACCAAAACCAAAACCCAAAACCAAAACCTCCTTTCTAAGGAGAGGCCTATGTCCAGCAGTAGACTTGTATAGGCTGTTGATGATGAAACGTTTCAAAGATTTGTTTTTGCTTAAACATTAATAAAAATGGTTAAAAACCTTTTTATGCGAGACAAATCTTCATAGAACAACAGTGGATCGAATACTGTTGTCTAACTATTGATAATAATAATATAAGAAAAACAACCTCGCACGCTCGGTTGCGACTCATTTCATTTCGCGATGCTTGTAATGCTTTTATAGCGTTTGAATGTGTTTCCAAATCATTCCGTAGCCGTGCTATTTCTCGTACTAATGATTCTCCGACAGCCATTAAGGCACCTCGCTCGTGGAAAACCCGCCTAAAAAGTATAACAAGAAATTAAGCATGAGCACAAATAATCATTTGATTAATTACATTGTCTACGTAATTATACATAATCATTGAAAAATTTACAAAATAATATTTGTTAATGTATGTGATGCTGCATTTATGCATTTACAAGTAGTGTTAAAGGTAGAAAATGTACTTGGCGAGTTGACTGATAGCGTCTACAGCGTCATCAGACCGAGATTTCAGTGCGCGAAGGGATTCGCATAATTCAAGTCCATGAGCATTGTAACGAGCGATTCGCTCTAAACTCTCGCCGCCTCCATTTTCCTGAAAATATAAATATCTAGTCAAATTTTACTTATAAACCCAAAATTTACGTCTTGACGAAGAACGTACGGTTTGTCCAATGAGTTCCTTGACCCAATCAATAATTTCTTGACGCGCAGTAAAAGCCTGAAGGCATAAGTCGGCAAAATGTGCAGGAACACTTAAAACTTTTGCATTGATATCCACTAGAGTACATTCATCTGTATTAAAGTAAAAAAAATAATCAGTATATCAGATACCATCGCATTTCTTAGTAAATATTACGAAGGGAGTGTTATTACCGATTGGCAGAGTGTTGGTAATGATTTCGATGGTACCATCCGTAGGAGAAGATGCGGCTGCATCACGACATAGTTGGGATATCTCTTCGGACGTCCAGTCAGCTACATTGAATACAACTAGTTCTTGTAGCTGCAGTCCTTCACCATACTCGGTAACGCCGTTTTCACGTGCCATTTGCTCTCGTAATGCGCGTAAATTATCAAACGCCTCCAAGACCACTTGCTAGACATTATTAATTCATAAGTATTCAATCAAAATTCAAAACAGAAGCTGTTGAACTAAAGATTAAACTACATAGTGGTATGAAAATTTTGGAAAATGAAAAATCAATAAACGACTTTCTATCACGTTTAACATTTATTTCCTACCAAAAGTAAAGAGAAAAGCAAATAAAGCAAATATCTAATAACCATCAGGTTACAATTTAGATTTTACCTGTTTCAAATCTAGTTCCATCTTTAAACTACGGAATTGCTTTTGCTTTGCAATAAAAGTGGCTCTCACGTCCTCTTCTTCTTTCAGCGATCGTGAATGACTACAAACAGAAGATGGGGACAAAACCCTAGAACTTGGTGGAACAACCATAGCAGATGGTGTCCTGGGGCGTGAAATTGGCGCGCACTGCGGAGTGTTAGGACGGCTTGTAGGTGTGCTTTGCCGTTGTACAGGGTGCGCCGGAGTGGTGGGACGGCTGGGCATACGTGGCGTTTGGGGACGACTCGATTGCATGCTTCGAGGAGTCTGCGGGCGACTACTTAACGACGGCGTGTTAGGCCGGCTCCGAGGTTCTGTATATGAAAGTGACATTATAATCTCTTTCCTTTCGCTTTTCCTGTGGAATATGGAAGGGCAAGTGCGTGCTTTCTGATTTGACCAATGAGCGCGCGCAGTTCTAAATGTCAGACACACATACATTTACACATAATATAGGACTAGTGTGACGCTTGTTCATTTTTTTCGTTAAATAAAGTATTACATCTAATTAGTATTGGAATAGTAATGGATACAATTCAACTTCATTCTTATATTATAAGCATTCGCTTAGTTTGGGAGACATGGTTTAAGTACCTAAAGCACAATATACCTTTTTGCATCTAATTACTAGTATAAGTACCCTTGAACTAGTTAATTTTCGACACTAAAGATTATTGTTAATATGCTCTTTATTACATGATATATACATATAAATTACATTTTTAATATTTTACAAAAGAAAAAATATAAAAAATATAGTTGCATATTTTTTATTATTATTAAGTGGAAGCCAAGTTTTATATTTATATTTTTTATATGAACAACGCCTGCAATACCGACTTTTTAAAACCAATGATATTCGTTAAATCTTCAAACATGTTCAAAGTCCTACTAGGTCCTAGGTATAATGTTTGTAATGTTGGGTCTCAAGTTAATATATTACTGAAATGATAAATAGTTGCCATATAGGTCATAGGCAAACTTCTAATAAATAAATGTTGCAGAATTTTACGGTAAAACTATCGAGAATAAAATAGTTACAATTTATACATTTAATTTAATCCGACAACATTTACCATTGTTAAGACAGCTCAGTTGTAAATCTCCTTCATTCAATTTTTCATTATCATCGGGGTTTTTAAATTCTGCAATTAAAAAAGTCTTAGATAAAAAATGTTTAAAACAATGAGAATAAATTGCTTTCCAAGTTTAACATGTTAAAAATACTAATCGTTGATCGTAAGATCGTTAAGCTGCTAACTAAAACCGCACACGTGCGGTATCGGAGTCGGGGTCTAAGGGGTGCTCTACTGTGACAGTAGTCACTGACAGTCAGGCAGACATACAGTAACATACAGTCGCTGGTTGAATTATGTTGAAAAATATGAAACCAAATATGCTTAGGCGAACATGCACTTGATATCACACCTAAGTCACCAGTAACTATAATCTCTTTTTCTGGAACATTATTGACGTCAATTATAAATTCGTCTTGATTCCCTGTAGTTTCCTCTTCTATAACACCCACTGCTAAAGGTTTTTCGACAGTAAAAGTTTGCAATTCTTCTATAGGAGCCTTCTGGAGAAAAAAAAAACACATATGAAAGTAGATACTCTGGTCTTACTACCTAAAATTATCTATAATTATGGACTTACCTTTTCTACTACCACTTCAATTTCCGGGTAATTATTTATCTAAAAACCAAAGTACAAAATTAAACTGGATGAAGGAAAAATTTGTCACTCTATGACCACTATTTCAAATTATCTTACATTCGAAATATTTTCTATTTGACATCATTATTTGACTAATACCATTTTCTTAATCTTACCCTAACTAAACGGTAAAGTAGGAAACAAATTGTACAAATTAAAATATTATGTATTATATTACCTTTACTTCAGTTTTGGAATCAGACTTTAGAGCACGTTGTACAGAAGCCTTTCCCTGCAACTATTCAAAATAATGGCATCTTAGTGATATTTTAACACCGAGAACAAAATTCTGCGCATGCGTTTTCAAATTCAAAGAATAAACCTAAGTATTTTTAGTTTTTGTATTAAAAAAATAAATAATGTTCCAGGCAGTAAGATCACAGTACTTAGGTATCCTCGTCTTCCAAAAAGTGAAGACGAGGAGGTAAAGGGGGTACTTTTCGTATATATATGTATATATCTAAATATATATATAAATATATATTAAAAATAGAGCTCATTTTATACGTTGCACAAAAAGAAACATGTTGCAAAGAAATTGTACATACATACCTTAGGAGAAACAGGAGTCCGGGTGGGCGACTGTCGTGACGGAAGCGATGTGAGATTTCTATTGGTGGCATTACGGGCAGCGCGCGCAGCCGACGCGGCGGTCGGCCGTGGCACCAAGCGGGGATTTGAGACTGTTAACAATAGTTATCTGTCATCATCACCCCTTTAATAGACCACTTCTGAACATAGGCTTCTCCTTGTAAATGAGATTTTGACCTATTATGCTACACTGTCCAGACGGGTTGATATAGGGTTGGTGTCAAGTTTTCCTTCTCTTTGCAATGCTGTTGTCCTGCGTAGTTTGCTCCCTTAGTCGCCTCTTAAGACACAAACGGGATGAATAGGGGTGGTTACACTCCGTATTCTTAATCCGTCACCACACATAACTTTCAATTAACCGTTAGTAGTTTCAAATTAATACAAAACCTCTAGAAAAACATTCTTATATGAATAATTAAATGACTTGTTTAAAATAAACTAGGCTGATTTTAATATTAAAGATAGTTTTTTGAGATGGAAGCATTTTTTTAAACTTACTTAAATCTACTAACTAAAATTTAAAATCAACTTTTGCCCGCGTTTACCCATATCTGGATATTACGAGTATATTCTCAAATTCGACCAATCGGTCTACATCTTTATCGCTTTAATGATACTCGTATAGACGTTTGAAATTTAAAGTTTTGAATCACTTTCATTGTACATTATCAAATAAACTCCCCAAAACCTACAAACGACGTTGGGCTCTGCAGCTTTTAGTTATTGTATAAACCCTAGTGGGTTTCCATGCTTTCTACTTCTACCTACTGTACTAATAAATATCTAGTTTTTTAAGAAACTTATAGTTTTTAAATTAGATCATTTATTTTATGTCTAGCTGCAATGTCGCACTACAAAACAACTAAGTTTATTTTACAAACGGGCCAACTTTAGTATGCTGGTGTTTTTTACCCTTTCGAAACGTCACGGCCATAATATGGCTATGTGGTGTACAGCAACAGCGAAAAGGAACTTAAGGAACAACAATGGGACACCATTTTATTCCACGCTTTTATATCGTTGACAGTTTAATTAGACATATTGATGATCTAAGGTTTGCAAATTGAACACGTTTTGTGTTATTTAGCATTCCTAGTTAAGTACACGAACATGAGGCTTTTAGGGTTAACTTACAAGGTTTATCCTTTTGTCCTTTCGTTGCAGTGGTCATAATAACAATCGGAAAATGATAAATGTATATAGAAAATGTAAAAAAAACGTTGGGAATTTTGATATTATGTCAATATGGCTGTTTTCGTGGCGGTGGACTCAAGTTCTAAATTTAAAACCTTACATTATGGCATTTATATTTTTATAACAGTTGTGACAAGTAGGTAAACCTTTTCGTTTTCGTGGTAACCTCCATACTTAAAGTTCGACTTCTATGGTCATATTGGTCTGTATAAACTTGTATTTAATAAACTACAGTCAAGACTCTATAATATATATACGGGGCTAACGAGCAGACGATGACGAAAATTGTTTGGCAATTGTTTTCTGTGAGGTCATGGTATCGTTCCCGTCGAGCCGGCCCATATATCTTATCCACTTGAAATAGCTTGAGTTTTCGGTGTTTGATGAAAAGAGAAAAAAAGGTTTCCCTTTTGAGATTGAAAAATATTCTCTGATGTAGTATTGTTCTTGACGTTACGAAATACCTCAGTAGTCATATTGACTAGCGGATCCAAAACCAAGTTAAATCTGTTTTTTAAGTAATTTAGGTTATAGGATTTTTTTTACTTAGTATCAAACTCAAGGCTATGTAAGAAAAATTGGTTACGATCCAATTCTTATTTTAAATTTACATGATTGTTTCAGTCGTTTGAAAGCAGCTTTTAGGTCTTTCAAATTGAAAACTACTGAAAACATTAGTTAAGAGTAGAGTAGTAAGTATTGACTTTTTAGTTAGAAGTTTGTTAGTGATTTATTCAGTTCGAACTCGCTGAGCCCCAAATCGTTTTGCTTAGAATCTTATATTTGCTTTATTACAGTAGGATATAGTCAATTAATAAAAACAAATTTAAAAAAAAAAAACTATCCAATACAAAAAAATAAAAAACTATCCAATGAGTGGCTAAAATACCATGTAAAATGTATCGAATGAATAAACAAGTTGCTTTGTTACTTGTCCGTGTGGTGTCGGATTAAGAATACGCCGTGTCACCACCCCTATTCATCCCATGGGTGTCGTAAGAGCTTACTAAGGTAACTAATCACTACAAAGAGAAGGAAAACTCGAAACAAATCCCATACCAACCCGTCTGTCCAGCGTGGTATAAAAAGCCAAAACCTCTTTCCTAAAGCGAGGCTTATGCCCAGCACTGAACTATTAAAGGCTGTTGATGTGATGTAATGAAGTTGCTTCGAAAAAAGATTCATTAGATTTGATGCCAATTATGAATTGACCAAGAAGGGCAGTTCAAAGGGAAAAGTAAAGAACCAACCCTCTGAAAGACATTTGTCACTGGCTGGTAGGCGGTTAAAGTTTACAGTTGACAAATATTCTTTAAAAACATGAGCGCGGTACACTGCCATGAAAGCCTTTTCGATTGCAAATGATATACCTAAATTTCTTGTAAATTAGCAATATTGGTGTACTAAAACAACGCGTTCTAAATAGTGTGAATAATTTCAAAATTTAAGTATGTCATTGGTGCCAGGTGACTCAAGGATACATGGTAACTACTTATTTATCAACTATCCTAACGTGTACCATAGTGTCTGGTGCTTTATTCCTTAGCCAATAGATGGCCGTAAGATTACGTATATGTAACGGAGAAAGTAATTAGATTTTGGTAGGACGCCGGTATCGGGACGTTTAATAACATAAGAAATTGAAGTGATTGTGTAACTTCGTATTTAGATAGCAGCCATTTGAGAGGAACAACTAAGAGTCGGATACCTTCTAAAGTTCCAACGAGGCAAAAACAACAACCTTTAAGACCTAAACTTCACGGTGAAACGCAGGTATTTAAACTTATTTATTAACTTTCTTTTTGTGTTGGTAGATGCAACAGTTTGTAGCAAACACGTATTCAACTTACAAGTTGTGTTACTAATACTAATGTAATGTTACTTATTATCGTTTACGTCACCCATAAAAGTCCATCCCCTGAGTATGTACTATTAGAGCACTGATGCTTACGAAAGTACTTAATCTGCATCGGCCACTAGATCACAGGTTATCGATATGGCAAGCAAAAAGATCTATGGTTTAGAACTCCATCGTTCTAAGCCATAGTTCTTTTTTGTTGATGGTCTAGGAGCAGAGATGTGAATTATTTGAAATATAAATATTTGAAATGCAAATACTTTTTAAAATGTAGTTTGTATATTATTTGAAATACTTTATCTAAATATTTAGCATTTGTAAAATGCAAAATATTTTTATTAATACGTTCAAATCATATTTATTGTTTTGCATTCTTAAATTTAAAATTAGTTAGGTATATAAAATAACAATGCCAACATCTTAATTACATCTTTACATAGTATGAAAAGAAGTCGCTTTTTTTATTTAGATCTTTCAGAGTACGCAACGGATTTTAGTGCGGTTTCCACCAAAAGAGGGGGTGATTTAAGAGGGCGATTTATATGAATACTACGTGCATATTATAGTAGAGGAAATCCGAAAATTTCAAAGATTTGTGATGTGTAAAGTCTGTTTTTTAATCTCGTAGACTAAACTGACATTACGAGTGTTGTCAGTTTATTGCAATTCTTAAATAGTGATGTGGCACAACCGAAACTTAATAAAATCAAGTATCGTTTTTTACAATAAGTTATCCTGAAATAATGTGTTTATCCTGAAATAATGTGTAGGTACTTATTTAAAACGTAATAATACAACATTAATAATGTAAAACATATATTTTTAATTACATAAATTAATTACAGGTATTCGCGTTAATCTGATTCAGATAATGACTCCATGTCTCAGGAATATTCTGAATCATCAGAATCGCCAACTACTTCTATGATAAACCTATCAGTAATGTCGTCGGTTATATGGCCCAGATGACACATTTGATCTTCAATTTTAATTACATGGACTACACAGTCTTTCCACCGCTGCGGGGTCACTCGACGAAGCCCTTCTTCAAAAAGGCTTCGTACTTCATTCATTTTGAATGTTTTATTATTTTTAGCGACATGCCCCTTTACTTGAGCCCAGACCAACTCAATCGGGTTTAGCTCGCAGTGGTAAGGGAGCAGTCGCAAAATAGTGACACCCCGTTCAGCAGCCATCTCGTCGACGACATACCTTTCATGGGCTTTTTTGTGCTTTCGGGCAATTTCATTTAATTCGGGCTTTAACATTGTCTCGTCATATGAAATATTTTTTGATTTTAGCCAATCTTGGATTTGCCCTTTTCCCCAACTAGAAGTAGGTAACGATTCCAGTTTCCTGGTGTGATATGGAGCATTATCTATTACAAGTATTTTTTTTGTTGTTTTATTTAAAGGCATCGAAACATGGTCGGATTACGCATGGCGTTGCGTGGTCAAATTTCCCTGGCAGTTTGTAGCACGTCGTGCAGCCGTGTGTACGTACGTGCATTTTAAATATAAAACTTTGAATGAAAATTAAATTCGTCTATTATAAATAAAAAGTTACGATTCAACAAACCGGTATCGTAGGTACAACACTGCACAAAAGAGCTGGCAACATTATTTGTAAATTTGACAGTTGCATGTGTCAATTTAGTCTACGAGATTAAAAAACAGACTATAGTTGTAAAAAACATAGTTTTGTGCGCTTGCATAGCAAACGCTGGCTAAACCTTACGAGATAGATCACAATAATGTACTACGGAATTTTACATTTTAAAAGATCTACAGAAAACTCTACGATGATATATTTATGTTCTAATAATAACCCACCGTAACCATTTTTATCATTTAACATAAAAATAATGGGTAATTTACGAAGCTATTTTGAAGAATACAGTATTATTCCTTATCAATAGAAATACATTAATAATGTTTTGCATTTAATGTAGATTGAAAATTCTTTATCCGGCATATTTTTTTTTTATGTTAGAGGGGGCAGACGAGCAGACGGTGAAAGTGACTATCGCCGCCCATGAACGTCTGCAACTCAGGAGTCACAAACGCGTTGCCGGCCTTTTAGGAAGGAGTACGCTCTTTTCTTGAAGATTTGAAGGTCGTATCGGCATCGGAAATTTGCGGCTGGTATTAGTCCGAACAATTCCTCGGAGCACTCTCCATGATATATGTGATAGAGAATGCAGAGTGAAGCCACATCTCTACGTAACGCCAAGGGATCGAGCAGCAAGAGATCGGAGATATTTGGGCTATCGACGATTCGAGTCGCTCTTCGTTGGATGCGGTCCAGAGGGAGAAGCTGGTACTGAGGTACCCCTGCATAGAGATGAGAACAGTATTCCATATGCGGCCGGACTTGCGCCTTATAGAGCTGAAGGCGGTGGGCCGGAGTAAAATACTGCCTCGCTCTGTTCAGTACACCGAGCTTCTTCGAGGCCAATTTGACCTCACCCTCTAAGTGAACCCGAAACTGAACTTCGCTCGATATGTCGATGCCTAGGATTCCGATGCTGGCTCAGGCAGTTAGGGAGGTGCTCTCAAACTGAGGTGATACGACAAATTGTATCTTTTTGCGGTGAACGCACATACCTGTGTCTTTTTTTGGTTAAACTGGACTAGATTTAGTCGGCCCCAATCTGAAACCTCCGCTAAGGAAGTTTCAATTTCAGACACAAGTTTGTTTCGACTCTCGATGACGTTTTCCCGAGAAATGTTGGGGCGGCCGGTATAAAGGGCATCTCCTGTGCTATCATCTGCATAGCAATGGATGCCACTAGTTTGCAACGTGTCATTGATATGCAGAAGAAACAGTGTGGGTGATAGCACACAGCCTTGTGGGACACCAGCATTTACGAATTTTAAGTCGGAGCATGCACCGTCGACAACGACCTTAATGCTTCTATCCGCAAGGATGCTGGTGACCCAATCACACAATTTCTCGGGAAGCCCAAAGGAAGGGCTTCGAGAGAAGCGCCATATGCCAGACCCGATCAAAGGTCTTCGCCATGTCCAAACCAACCGCACAAGCCTCTTCTTTGGTCTCGATCGCCTGTGCCCACCGGTGTGTTAGAAAGACGAGAAGATCACCAGCTAAGCGACCCCGGCTAAAACCATATAGTCGGTCATTGAGTAGCTGGTGATCATCCAAGTACCGGAGGAGCTGACTGTTGATTATGGATTCCATAATCTCAGAGAACAAAGGAGTTATTTCCATAGGCCTGTAGTTGGACGGGTCAGAGTGGTCACCTTTTTTAGGGATCGGGTGCACAAACGCTACCTTCCAGGAGTTCGGGACGACGCCTTGGGAGTAGGAGAGACGAAAAAGGCTCCTTAGAACCGCCGCATATCATCAAATCACTGTCTGGTGGGTGGTGTGGGTGTGGTTGTTACAACACCTGCATCACAAATAAAACGTTACATAAAACTGATTAACATGTCACGGTATAATGTGTCTCTGTCTGGGATTATGGCCTGTGATGAATTAAACATGACCTTAAACTGAGATACATAAATCTTGATAATTATTATTTATTATTCCTTTAGGTGTTCGGTTTTGTCAACAGTCTTCGACAGACAATTGTTATGATTCTGGTGTGAAAGTATTATTCTCTTCTACGTACCTATATGATAAGAGAAAAGTCTTTGTCATTTTACCTTTTTAACAAAGATCGAAAATATTTTTTACACAAATAAATGAATTTTGTACAGGTATCGCTTAGACCGAAATCAGCCAACCGTGTTAAAGATGATGGACCTTCAAGACAAAGTAACACAAGGACAATGCAAGAGCGAGCTCTAGCAAGAGTAAGTTTGTAAGATAGCACTCTAAGATCTCGTTCAGGGAGACGTGTTGCCGTTTTGTCACGTGGCGGTCTTTCTCCTTTGCATGCACAAAGCTGACAAAGACAATGAAAGCGGTTTCGCTCTACGTCCGATCAGAATTCGATTCGCAGCCGTGAAAATAGGGTCCGAAGTAGTCGTAGAACTATTTCTATAGTAGCTTACGCACTAGGTCCGATTTCTGTCCGTTATCCGTGAATCTCCATTCCGGACAAAATTATTGACGGACCAAAGTAGCCATATCATTATTTGTATGAACACACCCAGAATGATTTACTTCTTCTATGTCTTTCGTATGTACAATAGCATTGCCAGAAGTTGACGCCGACCGAAGAATCGAATCAGAGATCGTAATAGTGCGTGAATTCAAAAATATGTTTTTTTTTATTTACAGAGGAAGTCTGGTAATTATAACAAGGATCAAGCAGACCAGGTGAGACTTATTTTTATTATTACTGGTTGTAAAAAGATAAACACCTTAAATAGTACTAATATGCACCAAAGTAGCTAGCATACTAACATGCAGATAAGTAACTAGTAGCTAGCTAGCGCTTGTAACAAAATGATATTATTATATTGATCTCTTATCTTAAACAACTATGCCAAAGATGAGGTGCGGGGATCAATAGAAGCTTCCTTCACTCAGTTAATTTTTAGTAAATGATTTTGTTTGTATGCCAAAGTTGGCAAACCAATGACAATTAAAATAACGAAACTTGTTATTAAAAGCTACGGTACACTGCCTTATTACTTTGATTTTGTTAAAGTCTCATTCTCATGCTACGAATAATAATTTCTCTTATTATTCGTAGTTCTCATGTTATATTATGTTATTGTATATCTTATTATTTGCTACCTTGCTGGCGCAATTTGAATACAAAATCATAGGAAGCTGAATATAACCTCTAGTAATCTAATATTTTTGTGACAAATTGTTGTTAACTAGTAATAATTATTTTGTAAGTAACAAAACAGGCATTTTTACTTTCTGAGGCAGCACCTGAAAAATAGAACAGATAATAGCTGGCAGTAGCTTACAATCATTTTTAATCTTACAGCGCTATTATTAGATATTATTATTCATCGTCATCATCATATATTATTATTATTAATGTAAAAAAACGTAAAGTCACTTATACAACTTCTAGCCAATGTTATTCTGGCCCATGTAGTCTTAATCTAAATAATTAACAGACACTTATGCCTATTTAATTGTCCCTCGACTGTCCAAACTATACTTATCCTTCGGAACTAATATTAACGATTCTAGATAATTCGGTAGTTTGACATAACAGAACGAAAAGATTTTAAATAGTTACCTCTTTCTAAATACTTCTTTATAAGGACTTCTTTTTTTCTTTACCTTTCTTTACAAGGACTCTGTTCAAATATGCGAAGATTTAGAGTTAGTAACAAGCGGAGTTTTCCCGAATTTATACTCATCAAAAAACAAAGGTATGTATTTGTGTTAAAACAATTGTATTTAACCATTAGTTAAACGCCTGGGATGGTAAAAGTTTGAAAATCTCGGATTTTAGTTACAGTGTATGAAAGTTAAGTATTTATATATATATGCTATATTTATGTTTATAATGAGATAAATATTTCATTATGAATTATCAACGTTCATTCATAATAATAATAATAAATGTTTCTCATGGGTATTTTAAACACCTTTGGTGATCATGACACATCACCGTGATTAAATAACAAAATTAAACAAAAAAAACCGTTAAGTTGTGCTATAGATAATTTGTCAAATTGTATTTATTTTCAACTTTTTGTTTAAATAATGATAACATGAATAGTCCAAGAAAAATAGGCAGTATGCAATTTCTAGTACAAATAATAAGTCCGATAAATATGCACTCGTTCACTGTAACAAAAACCCGACCCCAGGCGCTTCACTACCATTAGTAATGTATCATTATTATTAGAAGGAATACCGGAAGACAATAAACAAATCGAAGTGATCTGGCAAAAGTATACAACAGATTTTGAATTGATGAAGAAGGATTTGGATAGCCGTCAGGTACGTAATTAGTTAATATGGGACTTTCATCATCAACTTAACTAAAAGACGTACGGCCTGTTTAAATATGTTTTGTATCTATTTTGTTATTCGCTCAAAGCTTTGTACAGGATTCACTTGAGGAGAGGGATAAATAAGCTCAAGAATATTACTCAATTAGAGAGTCATTCCTAAAAGAAAATCATTTAATATATTTTACCAACAGAGAGCAATAGTGGAACTGTACGCGAGCATGAGAAACACTCATCAAAAATTGTCCGAAATGGGGCAAGCCGTGACTTTGCCGCCTTCGGATGAACTCACTGTCATGAATGTGGCAAAATTATCTCCGGATCAATTGCTTGAGTTGTGTACTGTTAATTCAGTGCAGGGGGCAAATTCCAAATCATCTAGAGGTACGTTTTTTATAATTTTCTCTTTATTAAATCACCATAAATCAATTGTTTACACTTTATACAGTAACAAGATACATCGATAAAGGCAGTGTACAGCTAGTGCAACAATTACTGACAGGTAAACACCGCGTGCAATTATATATATATATATATTGTACCAAGGCAAGATTTTTTTTGCAAAGAAAGGAAAGGTAAGCTGAAGCTGAATTTTGATGGGCTCTCGTATTTAGGGAGCTTCAAAATCTATTAGCCGATGTTGTAGGAAATGAACATGTAGTACGATTTTTAACTGAGATTTTAATAAAAAATAATATATTTTAGAACATCAAGAATTTGCTAAAACTCCTCTCACAATCTGTATAAGTAAACTATATGATTTACCAACAAAAATTATTGCTACTTGCGAACAAACCATAACGAAAAGAAGAGAAATCATCGATTGGGTCACCGATCTCACAAGAGAAAAGGTGAGTAGATACAAATAAAATAATTCTTTTCTGAAGTCAGGTATGTAGATACAATAGACTACTCGGGGGTTGTGCAGTTCATGGTCCTTTATGGGGCCTCAGTATGGGCAGAGGCCCTGAAGACAAGCAACGTCGCTCTACTGCGAATACTGCAGCGAGTGCCGGCTATTAGGGTCATAAAACCTAGGTCCCGGTGGAAGACTGAAAGGAACGACTTGGGCAACCATGTGCCGGGCACGCTGTTATTGCGGCGGTAAGACCCGTTATGGGGGATTGGCTCGAGAGGCATCACGGGATCCTCTCATACCGGTTGACGCAGGTGATCACCCCGATAGGATGCTTTGGGATTTCCTGTGTCTGATCCGCAAGGAGCCAACTCCTGAGTGTCACCATTGCGATGTCCGGACCGTGGACACGGCACTCCACACACTGGCAGAATGTCAGACGTGGGTTTAGCTAAGGCGTGACTTCATGGCGGTCATTTGAGTGCGAATACTTAGTAACATGACTGCGGCCATGGTTCGGAGCGAAAACGCGTGGAACTCTGCCGTCTCCTTCTGTAAACAAGTTATATTCGCTTGCGAAGGAGACGGTGGAGCGGGACCGGGGGCGGGTCTTCCGGTCCGACAGGCCCAGGAACGGGTCAGCTACCGCGGACGACTCGGGCGCCGGAGGTGACAGGTGACATCTGACAACCTAGCAGAAGCAGGCAGAGTCGGCGGCGCGACGGGCTATGGAGCGCGCTCTCATTAGGCTGTTGAATGGGAACACCGTGGTTCCCACACACATGCGGGTCATCTACAGGAAACCGTAGATGGCCCGGGATCCATCGGGGTTCCAGGAATTTCCTTCCTAGGGTACACCAGGTTCGTGCGGTTTTTAGTCAGTGTGAGACATATCCACTGGTGGGTGGTATCCGAGGGGATTTCCGTACAGAATAAAAAAGGTATGTAGATACAAAATAAAGTTGATCTAATACTACTGGAACTAAGCACGCAACATTTCAAAGACTAATATAATGTATTACTTATAGGGAATTTCCAGACACTGTCTTGACAATAGAATGCAGGAATATAAAGCGGAAAATGAAATGTTAACTAGCTCCTTAGAACAAGCTAAAGGAGGTTTTCAAAAAAGTCTAGAGGAAATTATAGAGTTTATACGGTATGTATGAGAGTGTTCTCTTTTTTTAAATTATCAACTCTCTTACTAAATACAAATGTTACTATTTACAGGAAAACTATGAATGAAGCAAAGGCTTGTCAATTACGAACCGAAGAACAATTATGTATGATGGCTGAATTGGATTCAGAAAACGCTGATTTGCGAAAACAGTTACACAATACCGATAACTTTAAGCTTCAGAGAACTAAAATAGAGGTAAATATTATGCAATCCTACAGATCTCGAATTACTTTTCAACAGAAAATTCTAGACAAGACTAGTGCATAAACGTACTTATAAGATCTAGATAGAATAATGTCATCCTAATCAGCTCCAACTCAAATTTGGATTTGAAAACTTTACATCCTTTTACATATAATATATTATATTCATCTGTGTATATTAACAGGCTTTTATAAGCTTTTAAAAAACTGACTAACTGATAACATGAACAAATCTTTGATCGGCATTTGAATTTTTTGTATTTAAACAATTCATTCTTTAAAGGAACTTGAAAAACAGCTAAAAGAAGAAAAGCGAACGAAAACAATTATGCGAGATCATTTGGAAAGGGCAGCTGGACAAATAAAAATACGTGACGAACGAGCTTTACAGCTAGAAACTGCTTTAGAACAAGCTAAGTCACATTCTACAGATTTAGAACAATTAGTTCAAAAACTCCAGAAGCAGGTTAAAGTCTAACTGAATATACTAATTTATGAATAAATGTATCAATATTTAACACTTAGCTATCATTTACAGGGCCAACAATTACAAGCTAATTTTGATAAAGAGCTCAGTAACTTGACTCTATCAGTAAAGGAGAATATGCAGCATTTAGAAGAAATAGCAGATGCACGTGCGAAATTACAGACTGAGTAAGTTTTTGTTTATTTTGTTTTTGATGTATTTTTTTTATTTCAACTTAATGCACTTGAACATGATAGTAGTGGTCATTATTTTCTTTATGGTACTTATACCATAAAGACCCTTAGGTAGCAAGGAAAATACGGAAATATTAGTATTTTGGTGGAAGAAAAATAATATTTGTTATGGTTCAACAGAAAGGAGGATTTAGAGAAGCGCCTGGAAGATCTATCACAGTACTATAACGAATCGTTAAAATCGGTGAAACACGATATGAATGTCAACATCGCAAAACTTATAGAAACTGAAAAGAAATTCGATGTGCAAGTAGAGGAGAAAAAAAAAGTTTTAGAGAAGTTAGAGGCCATGTGTGCGCAGACGGTGGAATGTGAAATGCGCAATAAAAACCTAGAAATTGTACTTCGCGAAAAAGAAACACAGTTAGGTATGTGTTTAGGTACACTTTGAATTTACCTATTTTGATACATGTAAATCTGTATATAAAAATGTTAAGTTAGTTTGTGTACGCTCGAAAAACTCAAAAAGTTCTGCACCGATTTATCAGTTTGTCGCGTCAGTTTTGTTTCTCATATCTCATCTATGCAACCACATGTAAATATATCCCAAAAGGGCGCGCGCGCTCGGTGGCGCGTCTCGCCGCCACTCCAGCCTGGCAGGCCGGGAGCGTTTTAAACCTCCCGGTCCCACCCCGCCATCTCTTTCGCAAGCATAACTTGCTCGCAAAAGGAGACGGCGGAGCTCCACGCACTCGCGCTCCATACCATGGGGGCAATCATACTACCGGCGTGCCCGACAAGAGAGACTTCTTTTTCTTTTCTTGTGCGGAAATCCCCTCTGATACCACTTACCGGTGGCAATGTCGGACTCGAACAATCTAAAACTACACGCCCTCTCATGTACCAGTAGTCGGGGAACCAAGTGTACACTTGGTTCCTAGAAAGGAAATCCCTGGTGGACAAGAAACTCCTAACATAAGACTAGTCTTTAAAAATAAATAACTTTCATATCGATACATAAATAATGGTTGTTTATTGTACTATGTGTATGAATAACACTAGACAAATAAAAATATATAATACTTTAACTATCCCAAGGAGTACAATAGGTACAATAGGTAAATATTTGATTTTAACTTTTCAAGTGAGTACATTTATTTTATTGTATGATCCATTTTTTAATAAGAAGAGGGTACTTCACGATGTGTTTTTTTATTGTTAGTACAAAATTTTATTAAATATTTGTAGGTATGAGAGTGGATTGGTATGTAGTAGGTATGTGTGTTAAGATTAAATATTGCAAGTAAGAATTGAACCACTTCTCGATGTCCGATTGAGTTGATAATTTGTGTATACCGTAACTTCAGTGATAATGCAATAATATAATAGATACAACCTGATGCAGCAGCCAGGATTGTATCCTTACTAGGGAACTCTTCACGAGTAGTAGCCATTACAAGGATTCTATTGATAGTAACGTACAATTGGGTTTTGAATTGCTCGGGCAAAAGTTTTGGCGAATATTTCGATCTTGAAATAAATATTGTCAATTTTGGCAACGAAATACTTAAACGTATTAAAGATTATAAATTTGATATGGCATGTAAGTGTTTCCCTTTCGATTACTTAAAAACTTAATGTTAGATTCATAATTTACTAAGGAGACTTTACAAACATCCATGAAACGGACACAAAGAACACCCAGACTCAGAACAACAATTTGTGGATCACTCAAAGTGTCGTCCCATGTGGGGTTGGAACTCACAACACTCGGCGTAGTAGGAAGCTTAAACCCCTACGCCATCCGTGCAGCATTAAAAAAAACATTTTATTTAAATAAAAAACATTAAGTTTTTTTTTGAGAAGTTTTAACCGACAAATGTTTTGTTTGTTTTCACCTTTTGGTGATAACCCAACAAAATAGAAAAAGAAAGCACGTTCTTAAGAAGCTGTCTCTGTTCCGTTTATCTACTCATGTGGTTCTGGTCAGTTCACTTGATCAGCAGTATTCACTCGATAGTACAACTTTGCTCATTCAATAAAAGAAGCTCTCAAGCGAATAACTGACAGTAAATTATAACTGTTGATACTTTTAGGTAAAGCCTTGAAGTATGAAAAAGAATGGCAAACAACCAAGGAAGAATTGAATTTGACAATAAGGGATTTAAAAGATTGCAAAAGTCAATTACTTGAACAAAGCAAGACTATAAAACAACTTGAGGTAAATATATACACATATCAGTATATTAACTGAAATATGTAGGCTATTATTTGAAAAACATATACCTTTACGTCAAACATACATTTATTGATCACTTTAGAATCGTCCCCAGGAGACATTACTAGGGAAAAAGGGCCTTTCGTTGTTTGTACAATAAATTGTAATGCTGCTGAAATGTGATGAAATTAATCTACAAAATACTGCTTTTAAATTTTAAAATTATTTATGTTTTTTTTAATTATTTACATTAATTTATTGTTGGCTGTTTTTCAACGCAAGGCTTGTGCCGTTTATGTAAATTTGCCTTTTCTATATATTCGTGTCCGAAAAGAGATAAACATTAACTTGTTATTTATTCTATTTTAAATTACAATGTTAGAAAAATCGAAAGTCTTACATGTAATATTTTAATATGTTATTTGACATTTTATGTCTGGTACTTTTATTTAAGTAAAGAATATTATACTAATATCTTGTTCTGCATGTTGTACAGGATGATTTGGAAAACTCGCGCCGTTTAGAAGAAGAACTAAAGACTAGTCTTGTTACTAAAGACAAGAACATAGGAGATCTGGAAAAGAAGCGGACACAGCTGGAAGAACAATTGCAAGATAGGTAGAACAATAATATATTATTATATATAAAGTTCTGCACTGATTGAGCTCAAATTTTGACACAAAATTCAATCTATCTGTGGCGTCAGTTTTGTTCCTCATATTACAGCGAAGGGTACAGCTAGTATTTTATACGACTATAGTTGATACAGAGAGGGTTGGTTACGATTCATCATCATCATCAACAGCCTTTAATAGTCCACTGCTGGACATATGCAGAGGCAGTGGACTATTAAAGGCTGTACTACTGTGGACTATTAAAGACAATAAAAACAACAAGGAGAGCCTTAGAAAGGATATTTTGGCCTACTATACCACGCTGGCCAGACGGGTTGGTATAGGGTTTGGGCCATACGGGATACCGGCCCGAGTACTGGCCCTAGCCTTTCACCACATGGCAGACCGCCTCAGGGAGGTGTTCGACGCTAGCTTGGTGTCCGGACGTTTTCCTGAGTGCTGGAAGAGCGGGAAGCTGGTCCTATTGAGCCGGGACGGCCTGACGATTCGGTCGCGGCCTACAGGCCCATTGTGTTGCTGGACGAGGCGGGTAAATTGTTTGATAGGGTGCTCTCTGCCCGCATCGTCCGCCACCTCTACGAGGTGGGCCCGGACCTGTCGGACGCCCAATTCGGTTTTCGAGTGGGGCGTTCGACGGTGGGCGCTGTGCTACGCCTGAGGGCCGTGACCGAAGACCTGGACCTGGACCTACCCAATCTGGGTGGACCCAGCGTCACAACGAGACGGCTGTACACGGGGGTTGGTACTTGGCCGTTGGCCGGTACTCCCCCGTGGGACTTGGAGGCGGAAGTGCTCGCCGAAGTATATCGGCGGACGGCTGGTTTCCGGACGGATAGTGGCAGTCGGCCCCCGCCCGAAGAGATAAGCGAGTGGCGTGAGGCCACTCGCCGAGCCACGATGGCTCGTTGGTCGTCCCGGCTGGAGGCTCCACGTGCTGGCTTTGCCGCCGTGGAGGCGCTCCAGCCGGTCATCGTCGAGTGGGCAGGGCGGCAGCACGGGACCCTTTCCTTCCGGCTGACGCAGGTCCTTTCCGGGCATGGCTGCTTCGAGAAGTACCTGCACTCGGTCGCTAGGAGGGAATTGAGTCCCGCCTGTCACCACTGCGATTGCAGTGAGGACTCGGCTCAGCACACGCTGGCAATTTGCCCGGCTTGGGCGGCGCAGCGCCGGGTCCTCATTGCAGTCATCGGGGAGGATCTCTCGCTACCGGCCGTCATACGCTCCATGGCCGGTAGCGACAGATGTTTTACCGCGGTCGCATCCTACTGCAAAGACGTCATCTCGCAGAAGGAGGCGGCGGAGTCGGCCCGGGAGGACAGCCTCCACTCGGACCCAATCCGTCGCCGGCGAACCGGGCGGCGGAGGCGCGCTTATCACCGCCTCATGCCGCCCTGAGTGTGGCCGCGGGTGGACGGGACGGGTTTTCCCCTCCACCTGCCATAACGACCAGCCGCGAGGAGGCGACGTCCGCGTGTGCCGGACGTCGCCTAAATAGAGAATGTACCCGAAGGTGGTGCCCGCGCGGGCAGGCGCTAGGAGGGATCCGGAGGTCCTAATAACAGCAGTTCCTGGATCCCTCCTATTACAGGTGCAGAGTGGCACACCGTGTGGTTTTAGTCGGTCCGATTCCGACACACCACCCCGCCGTAAACCCCGGTGGGGTGACGGCCCGAGGGGGTTTCCACGCGTTAAATAAAAAATTTAAAAGAACGGTTGGTGTTAAGTTTTCCTTCTTTTTGCAGTTCTGGTGTCCTGCGTTGTTTGGTCCCTTAGTCGGCTCTTACGACACCCACGGGATGAATTGGGGTAGTGACATTCCGTATTCTTAATCCGTCACTACACGGACAGTTACGATTGCTTTATATTAAATATTACATCTCTATGACTGAGACTTATTTTTTTTTCAGGGAAAACAAAATAAGTTCTTATGAAATACAACTATCGTCTCTGAAGAGTCATATTACCCAGTTGCAAGATGATTTTGGTGAATTTGATAATTTAGAAGAACTTCATGATATGGTAATTGTTACCATTAAATTGTTGTGCTTAAATTTCTAGTTTAATTTTTGCGTTTAGTTGGTATTCCTCATTAACCTGCCCACTACTATCCATTTATAAAGATTTATTTCTCACCACAATCGCTTCTACCATCATTGCGCCTTTTTTTCTTTAGACTTACATCAAACGAACAGCCGGAATATACTATAAGTGGTTGCGGAGTCTTCACACCCAGTGTACCGTACACCGTATAATCACACCTCTAACAACTAGTTGATTTACGATAATACGAGTACACTGTACTAAGTAATCGCGGTTTTACCTGGAATAAAAGTTTTAATCGAAGAACTTCAATTTACTCAGACCAGATTCAATTTAATCAGCCCTGAAAGGTAGGTGTTGTGGTTTATGTGCACAGCAGATATCTGGCAAGTTCATAAAATAAGATAGTCGACGTGAAACTGCATGTTGAAGTCATTGCTTAATTTTAGTAAGAAATCAGGCATCACAAATTTTTAACTTCTAAGAGTTACATCAGGAAGGTTATTAAAGTATAACTGTTCAACTTTATAAAATATCCTTTTGTTTGCGTGTACAGATAAATCAACAAAGAGCTAATCTGTTAGAGACTACAAGGCAGAACGGAGAGCTCGCTCAAGCGCTCCAAAAGAAAGATGAAGAATTGGACAGACACTTAGAACGTCTGGCAGAACAAGAACATATAATGAAGCAGAAAGATGGCTGTATAAAATTGTTGTCGGACAAAGAAGAAGAACAGACCAAAATAATTAAATTGTTGCGAACCAATTTGGAGATGAGAACACAAGCTGATGTGGATGTAAGTACTATTTACTCTATCTTTTGTGAAGTATGACTGTAAAGATACGAGCCATCCACGCATATCGAATTTTGTTGTTTGTCTCCAAGTAATAAAAATCCAAAAATATATGCAAAATTTAATCCCCGTTGGTTGATTTTATTCCTTAATCTATGTATCATTATTGCGTTAGTGTAATTTTTGTAGCTGGATGTTCTGAGCAAGGGACGAAAATACATGAACATAAACACCGAATACTACCTCATGCATTCGAAGTTAGTTGGAATACAATAAATACTTACAATAAATACGTACTTCATAAAGTCGCAACACAGGCTCATACGACCGCACGCCGTCAACTGAACTCCTTCCTAAAGGAAGTATTGACAAATTTAGTGTTATGTTTTTACAGTCAAATATTGTAGTCAAGGTCAAAACCTTGACTACAATATTAAACATAATACTCGTATTACAAATAATAAATCAAGTCTAGTTGTTGGTTGATAACATTATGCTATTTCTATAATCTTTATTTTATGTTTACAGTTAAGTCAACAGATATCAGAGAAAAATTCTGAAATAGAGGCTCTCATCGCAAATGTTGAAACAAGGAAGCAGCAAATATCTCAGCTAGAGACAATTATATTGACATTAGAAGAACAAACCAGTAAATCCATTATGGAGAGAAGGAAAAAGGATCAAGAAAGAATAAACTTTTTGGAAAAGCAAATCGCTGAATACGAAGCGTTCCATTTAAATAATAAACACGATTTACCTGATAAAAATTTAGACAGTATAATCGATATTCTTGAAAAAGAACTAGGAACATCAGTTGAACCTCGGGTCACGACTAGATCACATGAATATGTTGCTATACCTAAAAAAAAGTTTACAGGCGACCAAAGGCGAGAATATTTTGAATGTCATAAAGGAAAAAATCAAACTGCGTATCAAACTGAACAAGAATCAATTCCGACTAAAATAGTTTTAGATAATATCGTTAATAAGACTTACACAACTAATCCTGATCTGTTCAAAGTTGATAATCTTGGTCGAAAGAAAGCTATTTTAAATATAGAAACACATAAATGGGTGACTGGACCACATCCTGGCCCTGAGACGTATTCTAATACACCACCAGTCAAGGAAAATCTTTATGGTCCTCTTAGAGGTGGACTATTTAACACTAATCATCCATTCTTAACTAGAAACTTACCACTTTTCAATATCGATCAATTTAGAGAAGATAAAAGAAACAAGATGTTTAAATTAGCTTGTCATAAACTGTAAGTGATGTAATATTCTAACGTCCTAATGTAGTATGGTATTTTTATTTACAAGAAAAATATAGTCTGTATTGTGCAACAAATGTTGCTGTGTGATTATATAATATGTCAACTTTGCTCATTTGTATTTTTGGTGCTACGAATTGTTATCACAATAGTTAGAAATTAAAGTGTTTAAGCCTTAAACTTGAAATTTTACAGACCATAGAGAAAAGGGGTTAAACACAAAAAAGTAAACATGTAAAATCTGATCAGTCTTTTATTCATCTTTCTCTACTGTCTAGCGTATAAAGTATAAAATCCTAGTACGCATAACTTCTTTGTTGTCTTTTCATACGACTTGAAAATGTTAAAATATGTACAAGGATTGAGTAACATTACCGTAGTACAAAGATACTCTTTACACTTCTTACGCAACGTGCAAGCCATGAGGGATTTTAATTTATCCCAAAGAAAAAGTATCTAGTTTAAAGCACATTTTTAAATTGTGAATATTTTTAAACAAATTACAGTACAATATATTTTCATATATATCATGTGGGTTTTATATGGTCTTTCGGATATTCTTGCTTTATAAAATAATCAAAGTTTAATCTGTCATAAAACTCACTGTAATAAAGAAACTGTAACAATATTACGCAACGGTAGAGTTATTTTGATTAGTTTCTGACGCTATTCTTTCGAACATAGCACGCCGCCGTTCAAGCAATGTTCGCACTTGTCCTTGACGCTCCAGCTGCAACCTTTGCGTGAGTAAGGCAGCTTCCAGTCGCATCACGCGCACTCGCTCTGCACGCAGTGCCGTCCATGTGTCAGCAGCGTTCACGCATACAGAAGATATAGATCTCGATACCTGACCAGATATATAACACATAAGTTATTCTGTTTTAACAGACTGATACGGCCTCTCGGACCTCGAAGGACATGTTAGCAAAATGCCATTGAGGTATTAACATCATGAAAGACCTAGTAAAATTCTGAAAAATGGAATCGTCAAAGTAAAACGTTTGAAATGAAAATTCGTCATGTTCGGTAAAATGACGGTAAGGTATATTCGCAGAGAAAATAAGTAAATTAAAGAAATAGAATAAGATTTGAATTAAAATTTACAAACAAAACAACATTTAATCCCATAAACCTAAAACGATTTCTGAAAACGTTTTAGCGTTTTAAAAATTATAAGCTGATAATTTATTTGCATCTAATTTTCTCACTTCTCTTTTGTATTTTTTATTTTATTGAATAACATGCGTTTCAATTTCAATTCTTGCCACTTGGCTTTGTGGAGGACGGGTGTCATTTCCTTCCAACACAAAGGGACGATCCTCCGACCAGGCGAAGCGATCATGCCTGGCGGGCCGCGGCCCAACGGTTGATGTTGGGGAAGTTGTATATATACTAATCGGTGATAGAATTCTTCATATCGCAACACAGGATTAGCAATTCTTATTCAGGAGTTACCGTAGTTCAGTGTGTCTTCGTTAGATGTCGCTATAGTTATGTTTATGTTTCTTTGTATGTGGGAGTCGCCACATCACTCCCCTCGAAAACCGGAGGTCGATATCTTGATGAGTCACCTGTCTATGTCCTGTTGTGGCGCGTGCCAGTACCAGTAGTGAGTAGCTCCAGTGAATCGAAACTGAGTGCCGCTAGTCCCAGTGAGTCGGAGCTAAAGTTCGCTGATCCCAGTAAGTCGGGATTGCACGCGATGTGCGGTGCTTCGGTGAAGTTCTCAGTGAGTCCGGGCAGTTGCTGCGTAGTGGTTGGCTGCTACGTAGATGGGAGAGAGATGCTTTTCTTACGTAGACCGTACAAGGATAACCAGGCTGGAGCAGTTGCTACCTGCAGGTAGTATCCCTGTTGTGGCCGAGGTTGCTGGCTGGCTGAGACTTGATTACTGCTTATCGTTGTGGTAGTGTTCACGATGGTGGCGATGGTGCTGCCTCTGATCTGCTCTTTTGATGAGTGCTTCCAATCACGTTGGGGTCACCACTGTGGAGGAACGGGTGTCATGTCCCTCCAACACAAAGGGAGGATCCTGCGACCAGGCGAGGTGATCAAGCCTGGCGGGCCGCGACGAGAGAATTCTTCATTTCGTGATACAGAATTACCAACTCTCATTCAGGAGTTACTCCATAGTCCGGTGTGTCTTCGTTAGATGGCGCTGTAGTATGTTTCTGTTTCTTTGTATGTGGCAGTTGCCACAGCTTCTTTGCCTCAATGCATGAACATGGCAAACTTTTTTTCTCCCAACTCTAGAATTATAACGCCTGTTCCAATCATCTAATGCGTTATTTGTTCTATGCCTTTGTTTGTGATTTGTGACTGATCTCCGCCGGTTTCATTTTTACAATCCATTGTTTTTACAATAATTGAATAATGTTATTTGATTGCAACATTTTACTTTTAATTGAGGCTAGTACTTTAAAGGAGTATTATTTGAACTATCACAGTGCAATACTTATGCAAAATACCCATACAATACAATAATGTAAATAGTAGTAAATGTAAAAGTAGTAAAATAATAGCAAAAAATGCAACTGAATGTACATTATTGCTAAGACATTCCGCAAATGAGAAGATTTACTATCAAGACGTTTGTATTTATAGACGTTTTACTTGTATGACAATTTCAGACTGCAGACATGTTATTAGAAGGTCATTTTACTTTCATTTCGTTAATACCTCAATGGTATTATGCTAAGTCGTCCTTCTGATACGGATCCGTTACTGATATTATACTTAAGGACAATCAAGTTTCGAAAAATGTAATGACAAGATGGCTATGTTGACCTGCAATTACTATTTCGCAGTTAGGTTTTTTTTTGGATTCTTATAAGATACAAGTATATAAACCTTATACTGTTAGATTTGATATGATTTAATTCCAACTGAACTAACTGACTTTCCAACTGAAATAATGACCATAGCTCTGTAGTACAGGGTGGCGCAATAGAACGTGCATATTGCATCATCTTTTTTCGCGGGGTAGAAAGTGCGCGGGCGGGGGGAGCCTGCATCGTTGGGTAGGCGGGCTCATGGAGTTTTAGTCACTATGAGTCACTTCGACGGGAAGCGTCGCGCATTTTACGAGAACTCTCGTTCATACATCGTTACTAGGCGTTTATATTGTTCTGAATATGGACTACGGCAAATTAGTAAAGCTCCGAGTGCTAATTTAATTAAAATATGGGTACAGCGTTTTGAAGAGACTGGTTCAACGTTTAAACCACAAGCAAAAGGTTGTCCAAGAACATCTAGGACCGACGACAATATTGAGAGAGTTATGCAGTCTGTACGAGGAGATCCACAAATGTCTACTCGTAAGAGATCGTCTGTCTTACACTTATCGCGACGAAGTTTGCAACGAATTTTAAACTTGGATCTTAAACTGCATCCTTACAAGCTGCAGTTAACACAAGAATTGAAAGAGTCTGACTTCGGAGCAAGGCTCGCATTTGCTAATGAAATGCTTAATCGATTTTCCAATTTTGACAATATCCTTTTCTCAGATGAGGCCCACTTCCATATCAATGGGTTCGTAAACCGTCAAAATTGTCGTTACTGGAACAGTGAGAATCCCAAACTCAAGCACCAGAAACCACTGCATAGTCCTAAAGTGACAGTATGGGCAGCAATCTCTGGTAGAGGAATAATTGGACCGTTTTTCTTTGAAAATGCGCGGGGGCAAAACGTCACTGTTAATACCGAACGCTATGTTGCGATGTTGGAAGGTTTTTTGGCTCCAGAGCTTGAAAATTCAAGAATAGTGAATTCTAGGACTTGGTTTCAACAAGACGGAGCTACCTGTCACACATCAAATGACTCCATGGCGGTTGTGAAACAGATGTTCCCTGGCAGACTGATTTCGAAAAGAGGTGATATCCCATGGCCCCCACGTAGTCCAGACGTGACGCCTCCTGACTTTTTTTTGTGGGGATACCTCAAGAACAAAGTCTACAGTAATAATCCGAAAAACAACGATCAGCTCAAGGAGAATATCCGTGGTGAAATGGCAGCAATTACACCAGCATTACTGAAGAAAGTTTTCAATAACTTCCGTTTGCGATTAGAGGAGTGTCGTCGTAGAGAGGGTCATCATTTAGACGATGTTATTTTTAAAAAATAAACTTCAGTTATTTCTTAATAATACCTCAGTTTTATTTTAACTATACCTTTTGTATTTATTTTCTAATCAATATTTTAAATATGCACGTTCTATTGCGCCACCCTGTACAAGAAGAGACTGTAAAAAAAGGTCGCAATTATTGGAGAGGCCGCAAGCCTCTCCAATAATTTTAGGACGGTCTACTGACGGGACAAGATAATTCACTTGCATTGCCTTAGCTATCGTTGAAAATTATATTTTCAAGAAGCGTTAGCCTTGGACTGGCGGCCGTCTATAAAATCAACCAGCTGATGACCTTGACCCGAAACAAAATTGGAAAAGGGCGGGAAGATGACGGTGATGTTATGGATAAAACTAATTCCTAAAAATCCATATATGTAAATGCGTGTTTTTACCTCGGATTTGTAAGTTTCGTCCATAACTGGCGGTGTAGTACGTCCATCTATAAGGGCGCGAAGATCTCTTCGCATACGAATCATGTTGGCAAACAATTCTGTTGACCGCTCATACCGCTCCAACATGAGAGCTCGGGAAGCCGTCGCTGACACCAACTCTGACCGCTCCCGATTCAGTGTCGATATTTGCATATTCAACTCTAGTAACTATCAAATACAAAATGACTAAACGATTTTATTATCAAATGTAATATATAACTCCCACAGGATGTGGACTGCAATGATCTACACTACGACGAAAATAAATGTGGCTAGAACTCCTTATACGGTATAGCGTGCAATTAACGAAACTACATTACACTCGGACTTGAAAAATTATATGTAAATAAATATACAAAGATTTTTTCTAAGTAGAAATCGAACCCTGTTTAAATTGACACCATTAAACAGTGCAGCCATAGTTTTCTTCGCTATAAATACTAGATTAATTGATCGATTTTCATGAAAAGCTTGAGACTAACCGAATTAAGACTATTGACATTTTATAGGTTCATCGCTAATGGCACTGTTGTTGTTAGTAGGAGCGTCGTACAATATTTCTAAATTCAATAAGTAATTGATTGTTACTACCTCAGTCTCGAGATCTTCGTACTTAACTTCTTTGGCAAAACAATCATAATTCCGCAATCGTCGCACTTCGAGACGTAACGCAGCAAGTTGATTTTCATATTGCGTCATACTTTCTTCCCTGTCAAATTATAGCGCTATAAGTATACCGAGTGTTTTACACCGGTTTGATATTCTCGTATGTTAATAAGTTAGAATTATATTTCCAATACTGTACATTGTATTCAATGAGGACATCTAGCTCTGGCTTCCTTGTACATTCCCGCAATAGTGTAGCCTTATAACCGTAGGATTTAATGCAATCTTAATTGGGGGTCAACACAATGTGTAACATTGTTAAGGTTTTCATCTGTTTTCTTTTGGGCTCTTTTATGCCTGGCACTAGTGCTCATTGGAACGGTACAGAGGAAGAAAGGAAAACATTGAAGAAAAGAAAACGGATAGAGGTTGGGGGTTAGGGTAAGAGATATCATAAATTACGCGTGTGTGGAGCCCATACGCCGGGTGTGGAGATGATGATTGTATGGACATCAACAGGTCAGTACTATATTGATAGTACTGGCTTATTGATGTCCTTGTCGTTGTAATGGTAGATAATATTCCTACTAACCTGTATATATAAATATTAGCGATTACTGTTTTTTTTTATTGGGACTAATCCCACCCACACGCCCACCACTGTTACTCCTGTACACCAGGATCCACAGCAGTGACCCACGAACACACCGAGTTATGTCACTCGGGAAGTCCCAGGAAGAAATTAAACTGTCTTGGAACCCGCAACGAAATTAATCAGAAGAAAATTGGAAGAGTTGGAAATACAGTAAATCCACTTCCCTCCTTAGCAAAGCGGGAGACAAAATGAAGTAAAATGGGCATACACCCTTTTAAACAGGGAAGCACCACGGCCACAAATATTACGGGTCCTACGTGAACTATGTTTGATTTCTATAATATGTATGGCAGAATCGCCTAAACGCACGGAAATTCACCCTAGTTGACACAAGATCCCCATAGTATACCGCCCCAGATGTCACCTGCAAGCTATTCAGCATTATATTACGTTCATTATACCAAAGACTACATTCCCAGAGGATATGATGAGCAGATTGTTCATAATGAGAGTTAGGTGTTGAGCATTGACACAATGGTGACTCGACTAATTTAAATGAATACAACTTGCTCTTAAAGTTACCATGACCCGTAAGAAATTGAGCGACACAGTGATCCACCTCATTTACTGTTGCAATTACTGTTTCCGTGTTTTGGTCATATAAACTTTTTGTGCATCGAAAGTCATAAAAACAGCTGTAGACTTGGTTAAAGAGAACTACAAATATGATCCTAATGGCTAGGCAATTAAATAAAAAGTATACATGACTGGGTCATACTCAGAAAAAATGTACATTTGCCATTTGTTAATAAACTGATAAGTAACGAAATGGAGAATCAATGTGACGAAACTGATATTGTAAAGCAGGGTACATACTGAACAGAACACGCATAATTAATCTAAATAAAAACATAATATCTCAGAAATCTAAATCAGGCTCATCCTACCCGACGGGAATATGTGAATATTCCAACGATATGAATATACCATTAAGACTAAAGAACCCTAAGCCTTTTTAGTTGTTTAGTTAAGTTAGTGTGACGTAGTGCTTGAGTGCTACTCTTGAAGAACAAGTACAAAGTGTATTTTCATTGGAGTAGGAACCATAAGAAAAGTACCAATGGACGCACTCTTTAAGTATATTATATTTTTTTAGCTAATAAATTGAAATTACTCATTACGCCTAAAGGCTTGATTGCAATTATTATGGGGGACCATTCAGCTACAAAATAATGAAAAAAAACTCAATTGTATGAATCAGTATGTACGAGTATACTCGTATATTATACTCGTACATATTGATATACAATTGAGTTTTTTAGCTAGCAATGTTTTTGTAGCTGGCAATTGTAGGTTTAGTAGTAGTTACAAATTAAATTAAATTACAGTTTTCTCGTTAAATTACAAATTATTGTTCAAAACATAAATAATAACTAAGAACAGTCATACACATTTCTAAAAAATCAATTAAATAATCGGAGTATTATTGTCAAAATTTAATCGGGCCCTTCCATATTTCGAGCAACGAAAGAAAACAAGTTGTCAAGAACCGTTAGGACCAAATTGAAAAAAATAAGCAAGATAGTAATAACAATATTACTTAAAAATAATATAATCCTTCATAATGAAAATCAGTCTCAAATCTCCATTACAAACAAATTTGTAACAAAAAGATATCAACGTTACGTACTGCTCCATTATTTAAATATTTTGGTAACTGAAGAATCAACTTAATAAAATAATAATATTATTGATTATAATTAAATAAAAAATATCCTAAATACTTGACTACTCTGCACAAGTACCCCACACAAATAGTAAGATAATAAGTCAATCATATTTTTTTTTAGTTCAACAGAAATATATTGTTACGTTCGGGAATCAAGCCCGTCAGTTTCATTGTACCACGATTACACTTCTGTTCCCCTAAATTAATGTAATAAAATTTTAATAGATAATAATTAATTTTTCAAATTAGATTAACTTCGTAAACTCAGCTTTACAATTTTTCAGTTTCGTAACATAACGCAATATAACTAAACTGAAGACAAACTCTGAGAAATTATAACCCCGAAAAATAATTCTGTTAGTACCACTTATTGTATACACAATAACTGAATTTATTTGTCTATATATTATTATAACTAAGTTCCGAACAACTGCGTTCAGAATTATACGCACGTAACTAACACTGAGTAACGAAATGTAATAATTTTGGGACAACATTAATATGAATTGTAATAATTTTATTAAACGTTCTAAAGAATAAATTGTATTACTATTTAAATGATAGACTAAAAGAGACCTAAATGACTAAAGTCAATCTTATGTAAGTCGACTAATAGTCGTAACAATTACTCTTTTATTAAGAAAAATCGTTATTGGGACATTAAAAAATTGTATGGAAGATATTTTATTTAAAAAAATCCCAATGCTATTTATACTATGATTTGACGAAAGTATTATATCATTTATAAAAAAAGATCATATTAAAGACTAAACATAGATGTAAACATGATTAAAAATATGTGCCATAATAGTCAAATTTTAAATCTGCTATTAAAGTAGTGGGACAAAAAAAAGTGCCAAATGTACATTTTTTCTGAGTATGACCCGACTACCTCCTACTGCTTGATGGTATATACAAAATTATTTAGTCTTTAAGAGCTTTGCTTGGAAAGATTCAAACGCGGTACACTCACATTGATTTTTGATTTTCCTCGTGTTCATCGACAGCACGTTTCAGTTTAACTATTTGTTGTTCTTTGTCTAACAACTCTATAGCTATTTTCTCCTGTAAATTTTCAGAACCTTCGCCTTGGCCTTCTCCTTGCTGTAACATGCATCATACTGTGTAGTATCGGAATATGAAATTTGCTAAAAAAAATTGAAGTAGATTAAACTGACTGAAGTTGCATAATTATCTCTACATAATATGTATAGGTATGTGGTATAGTAGGCCAAAACCTCCTTTCTCAGGAGAGGCTTATGTCCAGCAGTGGACTATTAAAGGCTGTTGATGATGAATATGTATAGTTTTTTGAAAGGATGAAATTTGTAAGTCTTAAAAATTAACGTTTGAATATTGTACATAAATAATTTCAGTTGTAAATATACTAAAACACAGAGTATTATTCTATTCCCTTTCCTCTAAAATCCCATTACCCATTAAAAAGATGATTTGATCCATGAACAATTAAACTAGAATATATTATTTACCGCAATTCGGGCCAATGAATTCAAAAAACTGTCCTTATCAAGTCGAGATTGATGTAATTCTTCCTCTACACGAGAAAGCGCCGCGCGAGTTACTTGAAGCTCTTTCCATAACTCCGTTTCTTTTTCGGACGGTTCGTTTTCTGTGAAATACCCTTGTATTAAACAACTATCACAGCTCAACTTGTTATTTTTCTTAACTTGTAATGCTAACCTTTCGTCGGTAAATAGTCCAGACATCGCTTACGATCCATATCAGTTAGTATAGCTGCATGTTCCTGAAGATCTTGTAATGCTGCCTCGGTTTCCTTAAGTTTCGCTTCCAGCTCTGCCACACGAGCGTCTGCCTCATTTCTGCATCTTTCCTGGATTTAAGTTTAGGATTAAATATAAGAGGTTAGCAGAAAACACTTTAACAACTAATTACTTGTGTATGGTCATCAAGTATTGCATATAGATAAAAGTACAGTCAAGACCATAAATATACACGGCATTAGAGAAGTACTGGAACATGCATGGATGCATTTTTCGCAAATACGTTAAACACAAAAGTTACAGGAATTTTCCCTGGCTATCCATTTCTGACCTTGAAATTGACCTTGATCGCAACCTTGATGGTTATCTCAATAGGATGACCTTCAAATGGATATTCATTTACAACAGCCCATATAATTATACGTATTCAAACTCAAGATCAAAAATATCTAGCAACCGTATTGCCAAAAAATATGCGTAAACTCTCTCTCTCTCTCTCTATTTTTTAGATAAACCCAGTATGGATTAATTTGATAGGTAATCAGAATGATCCGAATACCTGTTCCGTCGCCTTAGCCTGGAGAGCCTCGAATCGTGCTTGTAGTTGGGCCTCTCGAGCCTTGACAGCTTGTTCTGCTATTGCCGCCTGTTCTCTCAGCTCCTTAACCCTGTAATGAATACTAAACATGTACGTGTGACATGCAGTTCAGCACGAAATGTATGCATGTAAAGTATCACATCAAACAAAAATAAATTATTATTTTAGAAAACTGACTAGACTGTTCAAAAGTGAACATCACCGTATTTATAAATATTTTATTCTCTAATCTAAAGATTCATATCTACGGTGTTTCAAACACACTAAGTAAATTGTGTAAAACAGTACTCGAAGAAAAAAATAGTACTAGTATATCTGTTATGTAAGTAAAAACCCGTATATAAATACAAATATGAGTTGGTAAGTATAAATATATCAACATGTTTAACATATATAATGTACGTTTAATGTAACGTTTATTTCTTTCTCTTTGCAGTGCTGTTGTTTTGCAGAGGTCGGCTCTTACGACACCCATGGGATGAATAGGAGTGGTGATACTACGTATCCTTAATCCGTCGCCACACGGACAAAAAGTAAACATGAGACGATAACTTGTTCCACAGATTGGTTGTGCGAGGCAAAATGTGTCTTGAAAAGCGCACAGCGGTGGAGCGCTTCAGTATATTGAATATTACCTAAATAAGGGAAAGGAAAGTGAAGTAAAAAGAGAAAAACAACTGCTCAAGCATGCGCAAAGCCTCGGAGTTAAGTAAAAACGTAATGCTACCTACTAAAATTCGTTGACGCTACTCGAGACAATAGTTGCAGCTATAATAATAATAAAAAAAAAACAAATAAATATAGAAAATAAATTTGAAAAAAAAAGCGTGGGTGCTTTTTACTATTGACAACAGGCACCCAACGCTTTTTTCAAATTTATTTTCTATTTTTTAGTTTGGTTTTCTATAGAAAGCGTGTTTTTTAGTTTTTTAAAACTATATTTTTTTTTATTTTTTTTTTTTATTTATGTATTGTCATCGGTCCTCGATATATCTACAAAGTTTGAACGAATTCTGACCGTTTAAAGTCAGTCAAAATCACGCCCAAAGGAGTCGGTTACAAACATACAAATAGACATACAAGTAAAGCTAATATAAAGCTTGTAAAAAGAAAACTAAAGCAAGAAATATAAATCTTTTAAATTTAATTTTAGTAAATGTGGTCTTTTAAATTTCAAACTTAAGTAAGAAACTGGATGTCTTTATACTACATGAATGCCCAATTCTCTAATGAACACTCACTAATGGTCAACACATAAATTTGAGATATTCTAGCCAAAAGCTATAAATACCTCATTTCAAGGGCGTCCCGTTGCCTGGATAGGGTCTCTATAGTAATTTCTCCAGTTTTAGATACTTCCATTAGCTTCCTCGATCGTGCGTCATAGCTTGACTCTCGAGTGCGGTACTGAAAAGCAAATAAGTTTCTGCAGTAATAATAAATGACTTCTCAATTGTTAACGTATAGTTCCTAAATAATCTGCTACTGTATATTATTATCTGATTGCAACGTTTATATAAGGGGATTTTTTTTTTTAAATGTCTTTGATTAGGAAAAGTAAGCTTATTTTTGTGTCTATGTATAATATAATGTATCATCAAAAGTAGTTTCTACTGTTTTAATATTACAATTGATTCTATTAATCAAAATATGATTGAACAAATTTCTGTAATTTGTACAATCATGTTTTATCTCTCTTTCATTAAGTATATTAATTTTCATTAATTTCAAAAAATATTCGGGTGTGATTGTGTTTAGATTTGTAGAGCGGCAGCACGTGAGCTAGAGTTAGACCACGGTAAAATTATAATAATTGTACCGTGGTTAGACCCAGAGACGGATAATTGAACGGCAACGAAGTAATAGAAAAATTAAACAAAACCACAACTATTAGAATGTTGAGGACTGTCTAAAACATTCTCACATCACAACAATCTTTAGATTAGTAGGAAATTGAAGTCATATTTTGAGTATCAAGTATTTTACAGAAATACCCAGATTCTTTTAGTAAAAACCATTTTTCAATTTTTTATCAATTACTTGAACGGGCGTGTAAAATGTAAGAAAATAGCATATTTAAGAGTTAGTAGTTATGTTAATGCAGCTATTTAAACGAGCATGCTAATCTTACGCAAAATCATAATTCCTTTAGATATTATTATACTCGTGTGTATACAACTTTTCATCGCGTTAATATTACTAAATTGGAAAATGAATACTTACTGCTCCGGTCTCTTGCCTAATTTAGTATCTATACTAATATTATAAAGCTGAAGAGTTCGTTTTTTTAGTTGAACGCGCTTATGTCGGGAACGAGTTTGAATTTAAAAAAATATTTTAGTCTTGGATAGCCCATTTATCGAGGAAGGCTATATAACATCACGCTACGACCAATAGAAGCGAAGTATCAATGTCGAGAACTGTTGCAAAAATGGGGAAAATTATTCCAATTGAGACCCAACGGAAGTTCACTGAGTTGCACTGAGTACGCGGTTAAGTTACGCAACAATCGTGTATGACGAATTTGATTTTCATAAAAAGTTCTAAAAAAATGTCATCAATAGTATATGTCTATCTTTAAAGGTTGACTCACTATACACTTTTGTTTTTCAAGGTTTTAAAATAATGCATTATTTTATGCATGCTGGTGACTTGGAACGCCAACGGAATAGTCTGACCGGGGACCGCAGTAATCATAAAAAAAAACATTAAACATTATCAAATAGAAGAACACCGTACAGGAAAGATACAAAATACAGCAATAAAAATGATCGATAATAACAAAACTGAAATTTTATTGTATACTTTTCCAAAGTGGTCCGAAATTCATGTTTGATGGGGACTGGAACTCCAAACATTTGCACTAGGACTCTAGAATGATAAATCCTAGGGGAAGACAACTTCTTAAGGCTATAGAGAGTTTGAACTTGGAATATATCACTAATCGGGAACCTACTTACCAGCCAACAAATAGGAACAAAATATCAGATCTACTATACTTTTTTATCACACAAAAGGTAGATAGTAATTTCGTAAAGACGGTTTTTTTTTTTTTTTATGGGACTAATCCCACCCACACGCCCACCACTGTAACTCCTGTACACCAGGATCCACAGCAGTGACCCACGAACACACCGAGTTATGACACTCGGGAAGTCCCAGGAAGAAATTAAACTGTCTTGGAACCCGCAACGAAATTAATCAGAAGAAAATTGGAGGAGTTGGAAATACAGTAAATCCACTTCCCTCCTTAGCAAAGCGGGAGACAAAATGAAGTAAAATGGGCATACACCCTTTTAAACAGGGAAGCACCACGGCCACAAATATTACGGGTCCTACGTGAGCTATGTTTGATTTCTATAATATGTATGGCAGAATCGCCTAAACGCACGGAAATTCACCCTAGTTGACACAAGATCCGCATAGTATACCGCCCCAGATGTCACCTGCAAGCTATTCAGCATTATATTACGTTCATTATACCAAAGACTACATTCCCAGAGGATATGATGAGCAGACTGTTCATAGTGAGAGTTAGGTGTTGAGCATTGACACAATGGTGACTCGACTAATTTAAATGAATAAAGCTTGCTCTTAAAGTTACCATGACCCGTAAGAAATTGAGCGACACAGTGATCCACCTCAAGCCATATCCTCGACAACCGTTCGCGAACAGATGGAAAGAATTGGTAAAGATGGCGCCCCTTGGATGATTCATCCCAGCGTTGTTGCCATTCGTCATTATAGACATCGGGCTGCTGTTGAAGCAAAATCGCGCCCAAAAAATCGCATTCCATGTTTTGTTGTCTTGAATAGTACATGGCTGCACGTCTCTGCACCTCGAGATCGACCGGAAGCACACCCGCCAACACCGGCAAAGCCTCAGTGCTAACCGTCCTAAACTCTTTTTAGACTTTTCATTAACTATTTTAATATGTTCGATAAATGAAAAGTTTCTTTCTAAAACTAATCCTAGATAACACACTGTAGTTTTATTTTTTACAGTAACATTGTCAAATCTAATGCTCGGCGGTGATTTGAGGTTACCTTTTAAAAGTAGCTGGAAGGTTTTGTTGGGTGCAAAAGTTAAGCGATTACGTTCACCCCATTGAGATATCAAGTTCAAACATCTATTGGCTAATCTCTCAAGCCCCGCCCTAGTATCAGAATCCACCAGTAATAAGCCGTCATCAGCATACGCGTTCAGAGTACATCCGGATGGTATTGGTATCGCAAGAAAATCGTCGAAGCCGATATTCCACAAGTATGGACCTAGCACCGATCCCTGAGGACATCCCATTGTAAGCGCCTTCGACACAGAATGTTGACCAAGTCTTAGTTTAGTTGTACCTTGTGAAAAGTACGAAGAGATAAGGGAATAAATATTTTTAAAGCACCCCCGTGATTTTAATTTCAGCAACAGCATGGGCCACCATGCGTTGTCGAAGGCGCCAGATATATCTAAGAAAATATCCAGCACGTATTGAAATTTTGACTCTGTGACAAACTTTCTAACCGATATAACAGCGTCAGTTGTCGATTTTACCCAACGTAAATCCAAATTGTCTATCATGAAATTTGACTCCACCTGGCAGAAGCCGGGGCACTACAAGACGTTCTAAAAGCTTTCCTAACGATGGTAATAATGTGATTGGTCGGTAGGATTTAGGATCATCCGGTGGCTTGTCGCCACTTTTTGGTATTATACGAATATTACCGCACCGCCATATACGAGGAAATATTCCTTCAGCAATGCAACGTTTAAAGACAGTGAAAATCCTGTCACCCGAAAGTTTACAAGCTTCTTTGATCATTTTGTTAGATATTTTATCATCGCCCGAAGCCTTGTTTAGTGGCAAGGATCTAATGATACCGAGAAATTCGTCTGAAGATGGTAAATCAGACATTGGAGACAGTGGTGGTTCGATGGCCCACTGCCTGATCTGTCGGTGACGATCAGTGTCGTTTTCCGGTCGATCGTCAGGTACGAGTGAGTCTAAAAGATATTCTGCTGTTTGTTCTACTCCTGTGGTATATCTGTTATTAATTTTGATGTTCTGTATGTATGCAAGGTCGATTGATCTATTTGCCTTAAATTCGTGATACAAAGGTGACCACGGGCCCTCTCTATCGAGTTTATCAACAAGTTTCTGAATTAAGTTTCCCTTGGATTTTTCCACACAGTTCTCTGTAGTGGGACCTGGCAACTCTAAGAGCAATGAGAGCATTGTTGTACAAATCTCCTGTTACGTTATGTTTTTTAATAGTGTTTAATTTTCTACGAGCTTTCCGGTAGCTTCTACGTAGTTCGGCTAATCTATCATTCCACCAATCACATCTACGAGTGTTAGTGATAGATCCGCGACCAATAGTTACATCAGCGCAGTATGTAAAAGTTTCTGATAGTATTTCTGCGTTTTCCTCAGCTGATAAACTACTGCGACTGAAGTCTTTGGTATGAGTTGCAAAGAGTGAACCAAACAAAGCCCAGTTCGCACCTTTAGTTTTATATCTAAAATTATAGGGAGCCCTTTGTGGATCCTGTGCAACCCTTGGTATGAATTCGTACACGATCAAGCGGTGATCACTACAGGATGCGTCCGGAAGGACACGCCATCCGGATATCGAGACGTCGCCGCGTGTAAGCGTCACGTCAATAGAAGACTCACCCATTGGGTTGCAAAAAGTTGGTGGTGCATCGGGGGTATTGTGAATAATAAGATTCATTTCCGCAATGAAATCTTCAACCGCACAACGTCGAACCGTGTCGGTTGAACGCAACTTGCCATACCATAATGAAGATGACGCATTGACATCAGCGCCAATGATAATTTTATGTCCCACGAGGAACTGCAAGACGTAACGTAAGTGATGTAAGTGAGGATCAATAGGATGTGAATATTGAAAATAGCAGTTCACTACGTAAACCTTACAGGTAGAGGATGAGATCTCAGCAACGGCGCAGTGTGACGTCATAAGATTACGCAAAGATGTTACCGTAAAATTAGAACTTGCAACATATATCCCAGCCTGCGAACGGCAGTCAAGTCAAGTCATATTGTTCTTGTAAAAGGACAATGTCTAACTTTTGTTCTAAAATTAAACGGTCTAATTCTGATGTAGCTATTTTATCGTTATGAAGATTTAACTGGCCTATCGAAATATTATTCATTACTTAGTAAGTTACTCTTTTAACTTTTTTTTTTTTTTTTTTTTAATCTAAGTTAAACTATTCAGTAATTGGTATTTAATATTAGCTGTTCCAGTTTTAACTTGTATGTGGCACAGTCGTATGAGCCGCATCGATGGTCAGATGGTTTTTTGAACCGCTTACACTGTGCGCACGTGGGCTTAAAATCTGGTGTGTCTTTATCTGGACAAGCTCGCGTTTCGTGTGCGGCGGCGCAATTAGCACAAGTAGGGGTTTTTATGGTGCAAAACTTTTGTACATGACCGAATTGCTGACAATTTAAGCAACGAACTACTTCTATATCGTCTATGAATCTACATGTGGCCCAGACTATATAAAGTTTATCTTTTGTGTTGGCTAGATGTTTCCGAACTGCTGCCTCTAATTCTAAGCCTATCCATTGACGCCCATTTTCTAGTTTACGATGCCTAACAATTTTGGTTGACTTAATAAAATCGTTCTCACTTAATTTTAATTCGTCCTTGATATTCTGACGGTATAAGGCTGTTAGGAAGGCACGATCTTCCATAGAACCGGGTACGTCTTTTACAATTATACGGGGCCTACGGCCTTTCGGTTTTTCTAAGCGCAACCCTACTGATTTAATGGCGTCCACAGATTCCAGTTTCTTAAGCTGCCGTTCGTTAGCTACACGTAACAACTCCGGCAACTCGCTAACGACCGACATAGCCAAACAAAGACACACCAAACAACAATTTCAAAAGGAACAGGTTTAAAAATAAATAACACGCAGAGAAAAATCAATATAAACAAAGGATACCTCCTACCCACTTTTAGAAAGAAAATAAATTTACTCACCAATAGTCGCAATAAAATAATTCAGCACTATATTACTGTTTAAAAACAATAAAAACTTACTGACTTTCTTTAAAACACTATACACAACCTTTAGCCGCCCGCAAGCCGGAAACTAGTCGCAGAAAAACAGAAAACAATATTTAAATTGTTAGCACATGAAGTCACACGTTAGTCGCACGGTGCCGCGAAGGGAAGACGGAATCAAGTACAGATCTTACATCAGACCGTACTTAGTTACTTAAACTCATTGGTTACCCTAGTGGATTCCCCAATGCAACTATATATATCCCAAAAAATACAAACTGGGCACTCAACCATCACTTGATAAACACAGAAGTGAATCTATTACAAAAAATCAGTACAACGGATCAACAGAACACTTGGAAGATGCAGTGGCGGAATTTAATGTTATTATACATAAAGCTGCTAACAACGCAACAGTCAAACGAAAGGGACATCCACCAAAGCACAACATATATTCGAAAAATATTAGGTACAAAATACAAGAACGCCGTAAATTGAGAAAGATCTGGCACACGATCAGATACCTGAGGGACAAATCTATATTTAATAAATGCTCCAAAGAATTGAAAAATTTCATAGGCACACTAGAAAACGCTAATTTACAATCCTTTCTTTCAAGTTTATCTCCTACCATTGATACAAACTATTCACTCTAGAAAGCAACTAAAAACCTGAAGCATCCCAAAGTACAGATACCACTCATCAAAAATAGCTGTGGGGAATGGGCTAGATCGCACCAAGAAAAGGCTGTAGCCTTCGAAGAACATCTCAGTGTTGTGTTTCAACCATTCCCTGAAACCAGCTAGGAATATAATAATAATAATAACTTCACACATCTCACACACGGCCGTCTGATCCCAAACTAGGCAGAGCCTGTACTATGGTAACCAGACTGCTGATAAACATACTTATATATTTTTAAATACATACATATTATAGATAAATTACACCCAGACACAGAACAAATGATCGTGCTCATCACACAATATTTGTCCTGGGTGGGAATCGAACCCACGACCTCCGGCTTAGCAGTCAGGGTCACTAACCACTAGACCAACAGGCCCGTCAAATATGCCGCAGAAATTGAAGAATATCTCGTTTCAGCAAAACAAATATGAAAAAAAACCTTCCTATAAAGAGAGTGAGCCCCAAGGATGTATTGAGAGAAATAAGAAATCTACAGGTAGATAAATCACCCGGTTATGACCTCATTGACGTGACTCTGCTTAAACAGTTACCATATAGGGGACTCATGAGACTGGTTAACACATGGCACAGTGGTAATGATTCCCAAACCTGTCAAACCTCCACACGAAGTTGCTTCCTATAGGCCAATCAGCCTTTTGCCAATAACTGGCAAACTGTTCGAGTGCATATTACTCAATAGAATGAAATTAACAAGATCTTTCCAAAACACCAATTTGGATTTAGGGAAAAACACGGGACAGTAGAACAGGTGCATCATATTACCTATGTAATCAGCAGATGCCTAGAAAATCTAATGTTTTGCTCTGCAGTCTTTCTGGACATCAGTCAAGCATTCGATAGCGTGTTGCATGAGGGCCTGAAATCAGAAAGGTTCTTCCACACTCCTTCCAGATTATTACATCAAATCTTAGTAAAAGAAGTTACCAAATAAAGTACAACCATGAGCTTTCAAACCTTTGTGAAATTGGGTCGGGTGTCCCTCATTGGCTCCTATACTATACCCTATCTATACAGCAGACTCCCCTGCAACGGACAACACGACCACTGCAACATATGCTGACGATACTGCTTTACTATCAACCCACAGAGGTATGGCCACGACTACCCTGCAAAAGTATCTAAATAAAGTTGAGATATGGTTGAAGCGATGGAGTATGAAAGCTAACCACTACGCTTACCTCCACTCTTAGGAAAGAAACCAGTCCTCCAGTTAGGCTATACGATGAGGAAATTTCACAGGGTGACGATGTCAAATTTCTGGGCATACACCTAGACAGACGACTTACATGGCAGAAGCATATTTGGCCTAAACGAAAGCAGCTAGATCAAAAACTTCGAAGTTTACACTGGTTAATTGGACGCCATTCCCCACTAAACGAAAACAGTAAAATGACAATATATAAAGCTATTTTTAAACCAATCTGGACATATGGTATACAACTATGGGGTATAGAAAGCAATAGTAATATCGAAATACTGGAGATTTCAAAGCACTTAATGTTTAACTTAATGTTTTTAAGAATCATTTTTAACATCCCACAGTGCATCAGCAATAGATACATTTACCTCGATCTTAACGTTAAAACAGTGAAGCAGGAAAAAGCTCAATACAGCCAAAACTATCAACACAGATTGTCACAGCATACTAATGAGCTTGCTCTAGCGTTGAGTGGAGAGGGTGGCACACAACATGTTAGATTAAAACGAATGGATGTCCCTGGACTTGGTAACAAATTTCAGCCATCATAAGAGATGTTGCTAGGACGCTCTTGAATTTTTGACGACACATGGCGGCGCTAAATTGGACAGTGAAGTGGCTTATTGTTTGTGAAACAGATTGCCATGAAGCAGAAACAAAAATTTGCTGGTGTGTACCTATATATTCATGATGTTAATCTTTATTCGAATAAATACGTTTTTTATCACAGGTGTTTAATTTTGGGCAAAATTGCCAATTAATTCATTTGATTTCAATAAATATCATAGCCGATTTTACAGTTTTAATATAATTCTGCAGCAAAAAGTACCGCGTCTGCATGCTTGGTCTGCATGTCGGCATATCGGCGGAGTGGCATACTGCGAGGCTTTGACGCGTAGCCGGCTCCCAACAGAACGGTTGTGTTTAACAAATCAGAGTGGTCTTCTCCTTTATTCCCTCAAATTAAAAACTGGTTCTACAACTTTTTTGCCAAGAACCATAACGAGACTCCTAGTTCCATTTTTGGCAGCAATATAATCATTGTCATAGTTTTGACTGGTACAGTCTCTGCGAACTTCAAAGAAATACAATTTTGTTCGTTTGGCGTAACAATTAATAAAGCGTAGGGTAAACATTTTACGTCCATAGGAATCGCTTTACGTCAAAACTGTTTATTACACGGACAACTAAATATTGCGTTATCAAAATCAGATTGCAGAGAAAACCAGTTTGTTCCTAAATAAAACTACCTACCTTTCTACATTTTACCTTTAAAAGAGCCTAGTATTGTTCCCAGCGTTCCCTTATCATTCCTGTATATATTTTCTAGTTCCACTCATACTGATCATAGCGTGATGTACCTAAAATAGCCTATGTTATACTCTTAAAGGGATGTTTAGTCAATATTTAAATTAAGGGATAAATATAACCCAAACACAAACAATGTTTCTAATTATTTCGTCGGAGTGATTTTAAATTAGCATTGTAGCTATTGTTATCTTATAAAAATTTGTTCAATGGTTCTGAAATAATTCATGGATAAAATGAAAAAAATGCAAAGCCTTTATAACTATTGTATTATTATATATACCTTTCTCTCTGGCTCCCCCCTCTCCCGATCGCGGTCAGCGGTCTCTTTCTAGAGCATTACAGCCTCACAGAAAGAGACCACTGCGCCCCAGCCCTCCTCACCCGCCAACATGGCAGTAATGATTGCTGGCGAAGTTAGGGTATCGATTGATTCGATCGACCAGGAGCTTGCGTTCAGACGTACGCGAGTCAGTCCTCCAGCGTATGCTAGTATGATTTAAAGCCCCTCTAAACCGGTTCATTAACTATTAAATGATTTTTTTAAATCAGTGGGGTAGATCCTAAGATATCGCGATTAAAAACTCTCTTCAGCTTTATAATACTATTGTTAAAATGAGATTTAAAAGTGATTACAAGGTGTTCGAGCTCTTTGTGTCTTTTTCTAGCGCCTTCCAGTTCAGTGCGCGAGTCTTTTAGTTGTCTTTCAAGAGTTGCGATGCGCGCACGAGCCACTCGTAGCATGGTCTCAGCCGATGCTACAACTTCTTTCAGAGCTTCATTTGCAGCACGTTCCTTTGACAGCTCCTCACATACCGACTATGGAGCAAAAGTTTACTAACTTAGGCAAATGTCCCACCCACAAAGCTTACTTTGCCCCTATATAAATATTATTTTGTGTAAATCGGGATTTAACCTATGTTTAGATTAATTCCTATTACCGTGCGCCAGCGTCATTTCCTTTCCTACTATTTACTATGTTGGTATGGGTTATAGCTTGATGTTACATAACCTTCCACGGACGGACTTAAACGGACTAACAATTTAATTTAATATCGCGTTCATATGAAATTAAAAAAAAACGGTCAACTTCATAATATTAGTACAGAAATGAATTATTGAATTTGAATTTTCGATAAAAGGCGAGGCCAATGAGGTCAAGGTATAAAATGATCTTATACCAAAAATATAGATACTATTGTCATTGAGGCGAAAAGTATAAAGGCAGAAGCTCCTATTACGGTGGTATATAAAAACATTTATATATAAACCTACGCAACAAAGTACAAAAGAATAATAAGGTTATGTCTTGTTGATACAAGACATAACCTTATTATTCTTTTGTACAGTGTATTTTGTAGTGTAAAGTGTATTTTTTGTTGCAAAGATCTTGTTTTGATATTATTTGTTATAATACCCATGACATTTTCAAAATTCTTTAATAAATCAGTTTTTAAGGTTTGACAAAAGTTAGAGCAAATTACGGCGGTTAAATAGAAAATATAATTAACAAGTAAATTAGTCTTAAAAATCACATACGTTTTCTTGTTTTATTATGTACCAGCTGCCCTTCGTCCATATTGGAAACTAATGGTTGGAAACCAATTACCAAAACAGAATTATTGGCCTTTTATTGAAACCTGGTTTCCAATATAGAAAAATCATTCTATTTTCGAAACTGGTTACCAACTCAAAAAGGCGAATCTTCTTTCGTAACTCTTCCAACAAATTCTTGATTAGAAATAAATCCCTGGTGACTTAAGTTTTTTTATGTACAACGACAAGAAGTCATCCCACTATTAGGAATGATAGATATCAAGTGTTGATTATTAAATCCTAAACGAATTATTTTTTAAATATTTGGTGCGAACGGTGGTTACTTTCTGAAATTGTGTTAAAATTAGTACAGTAATCATAGAGCAACACAGGCCACCGTCGGACCAGAGTACCGTGTTGCTCTATGACAGTAATAGAATTCTTTTCTACAAAAAGCGGTCGTGTGGCTGAAATTTCCTAGCTACTTACAGCCAGGAAATTCTTTCTAATCAAGGAGTTTGTAGATATATTGGAAGAGTTTCAAAAGAGGGTTTCAAAACATCAAACAAGAGTTTCAAAACATTCAGTTTTGGTAAGTAGTTTCTAAAACAGAATTATTTTTCTTTATTGGAAACCAGGTTTCGATAAAAGAGAAATAATTCTGTTTTGGAAAATGGATTCCAACCATTAGTTTCCAATATGGCCAAAGGGACCATCTGTACATAATAAAATTTTGAAAAACATCGCCTTAAAACACTCGACGACTCGAAGACCGACCAACAAAATGGACACATAATCATTATGCACATAGTTCTCCCAATACCTATCCTCCTATCCTATTACGGCTCTTTTTTTGAGATGTGAAATCAGTTAAGTATATAATTAAATACTGAATGTATAAATAAAAAATGTGCACGCTATTTTATAATAAAATAAAATGATCGAAAATTTGAGTATAAGTCTCTCAACATTAATTTGTACAAAACCTGCTACAACGCCGTGGCAAAGATTGATTTATTTTATTCTAAATTTATTATTTCCTCTTGTGTTACATTTGCAAACATCTCTTAAAGTAAAATACTTTAAGTGAAAAAATCTATTTTACTTGAGTTCATGCTATGTTTAAAATACACTTGAGTATGTTTATACTCAAATACGAATTAAACACCATGATATACATACCAAATGAATGAATCTTCTGAATGAGAACTGATTTAACTACCACCGTAATATTTTTTTTTTTATTTTTTAATTATTTTTTTATTTTTTTAAAAGACAACTCCCGCATTAGGAATAAATCCTGTGTCGCGGGGGACCTTACAAACATACATGAAACGGACACAAAGAACACACCCAGACTCAGAACAACAATTTGTGGATCACACAAAGTGTCGTCCCATGTGGGGTTTGAACCCACAACACTCGGCGTAGTAGGAAGCGGCGTGGCGACCGCTTAAACCACTACGCCATCCGTGCAGTCATAGAAGCTACTACCATGAATATCAAAAGTATTAAAAGAAATAAATATACGACCTGTGGGTCGGGAACCGGTATTGCAGAACCTTTTTCTGTACTTTTGTTATTCTTTGCAAGCTCGTCCAATTTACTTTGTAAGATTAGGTTTTCCTTTTGCGCACGTTCCACCTTTTTTATTATTGAGTCTCGGTCCACCCAAGGAATTCTAAACAACAACATTGAACTCTTTAGTGAGTTAAATACTATGAGAACGAATGGCAAACGAGAAGACGACGTACCACGTAGAAACTACTAAGAAGAACATCAGCATCTTTTAATGACACGTCCCTTTTTTTCTGTGCTGAAATCCCCTCGAATACCACCCACCTGTGGCTATGTCGACTCGAACCGATTTAAAACCGCACGAGGTCTCGGGTACCAATAGCTGGGGAACCTAGACGTACCTCGGGCCATCTACAGCGGGTAGATGACCCCCTCCTGTGTGGGAACCCCCATGTCCCTTTATGCTACCGAAAGGGCACGCGCGCTCCGCAGCGCATCTTGCCGCCAACCCGGCCTGCTAGGGTGACAGATGGCCTCACCTGCAACCTTATTTAGGGCCTGAGTCGCCTGCGATACCTGGCCCGTGCCTGGTCCTGGCTGACCTTAAGAGTTCTAAACCTCACTTGGTCCCGCTCTCATCACCCGCATCTCCTTTGCAAGTATAACTAGCTCGCAGAAGTAGGCGGTGGAGTTTCACAAACTCTCGCTCTGCACCATGGCCGCAATCATGTTGCCGAGTGAGAAAACTCCCACCCCGATGGCCGCCACGAGGTCGGTCACCTAAGCCGGACATTCTGCCAGCGTGTGCATTCTTGCACCACTGATACAGAGCCGCAGCCGCGTCAATGCACGCGATGCTCCAACCAACTTGGGGACCAGAACTCAGAAATGATGTCCTAAGTCCCATCGGCCATAGAGTACGTGCCCCAGATACCTCATCGAGTATCATTTTTATGTAAATGATAATAATATATTGTGTGTCCTATACCATTTTATAAATTGAATAAAAATTATTATTATTAGTTTACATAGCCGTGAGTCCTCAATTTATATAGGATTAGTTTAGGTTACTTAAATTCCTATGACCCACAAAGGTAACCTGTTGAACACACCTCTAAGCAAACACCACTAAAGAGTTTAAAACTACATAATTATGCTTAACGTAAAAGTGAGTGCTTATCTAAATTATGTATAATATACATTATGTGATGTGTGAATTTGAATATTGATTCCTAATACTTGCAAGTATCTCACATACCTTAACACTTTGTTTTAGGGTTCTAAGCGCAACTAAACACCTAATAGTCCATTTGCGTAAAGAAAATAGTGACGCAATCGTTTCAAACATACATACATACACCAAGTTTATTCAGCGTCAGCACAATTGTATAATATGCGATCAAACTCCAATAAATTTTCACAAAGTCAAAACTTACTTTGCCAGTTCAAAAGCAGTAAGGACTTTTGCTTTAATGTTTTCCGTTAACTCATTGACCATCTTATGCAATTTTTCTGTTTCTGTGTCAAACGCCATGTTTTTGGTTTTCCAGTCTAAATTCTGAAATTAAATTATATTTTAATGTGTCATTTCTATTTATTAAACACCACGATAGTTTAGTGTTTAGTGAAATAAAAAGTTACAGTCATGTTTTGCTGTGTGAGCTATTGTTATCAAAATTAAAAATAAATAAACCAAAACTAAGCTATGAAGGAATACTACAAAGGAACAAGTAAAAAAAAGTAAAACAAGATAGTAGGTGAGTGAAAAATAAAACCGAGAGTCCTATGTCCAGCAGTGGACAATTCAAGGCTGCTGATGTATGTTAAATGAAAAATATATTAAGCTACATTATGCTTCTATTGCATATTTAAAGTAGCCTGTGAATCTAAAACCAACTCGATGATTAAGCGATTAGGCCTTCAGGTTTCTGTGCCACTGTAGGGGGGAGTGGGGCAGATTCATACAAGGGGCACCGTCATACACTAGATACATCTGTTGTTAGGCGCACATCAACTGAACGACTTATCCGTGTACACGTAGCTTACTTATGTGTGTATTGGCTCACGGAGTTTGACAACAGTCGGTGGAAAATTCGCGATGAGGTGACGTGGAACGTGATTCGGCCACGCGTAAGTAATTTTGAAACCTCACTTTAAACATCTTTTTTTTAATAAAAGCTTTTTTCTAGATTTTTCAGTACTATTTTATTCAAAAGGTAATAGGATCAAGTTTGTAAGTTGATACGTGAATAATGATATTTATAGTTGATTTTTTTAGGAATATTTTTATTTCATTTTCTGGTGATGGGGTTGGTTCATACAGCAGTAAGCGGGGTACATTCATACTGTATGAATGTGCCCCACATTTTTATTTCTTCCAGATCCTAGAGACTATATATCGCAAACACAATTTAAATGCCGATCGGATTTTCAACAACGACGAATCTGGTATTTTTATTGTTCTGAGCACACCCAAAATTTTTGATGACAAGAGCCAAAAACAGGTTGGTCAAATAGTGTCTGCCGAAAGAGGAGAACTGGTCACATTGGGTGGTATTATTTCAGCAAGTGGAAACACCATACCGCCCTTATTCATCTTCCCTCGAGTACATTTTAAGGACCACTTCATAGAAGATGTTCCAGAAGGCTCTTTAGGTGTAGCCACGAGAAGTGGTTGGATAAACTCGAGCATTTTTGTTGATGTTCTAAAGCACATTCAGAGACACACCTTATGTTCGAAAGAAAATCCAATATTCCTTTTATATGACAACCATGAGAGTCACATTTCTATTGATGCAATCAACTACTGCCGTGACAATGGGATTGTGTGCCTTTCCTTTCCACCTCACACGACTCACCGCCTTCAAGCATTAGATGTTGGAGTATTTGGACCATTAAAGTCGAAATTAAAAACAGCTTTCAATGACGCATGGCACGTTTCCAATCCAGGAAAAACACTTAATATTTATAATCAAAGAAATCAAGAAAGACTGTTAGGTTAACTAACTTACTTTAGTGTCATAAAAAGAAAAACTACCTACATTTATGTTATTCTCTTTTTTACTTAGTATTATTTGGTTATTACTTAATATTAGTTGCTCATATAGACTAATTGCTTTTGTTTTCGAGAACGTTGTGGTTTTATACTTCTATTTTGATGAATAATTAAACTTTTCATGCTAAACTTGTGTATTTTTTTACATGTATGAATCTGCCCCATAGCCTGTATGAGAGTGCCCCGCATGTGGGGTACATTCATACATTTTAATAATTTTTTTAAAACTTTTATTAAAGGTCGCACATGTGTATATACACAAATTACATGTTCTTGAAATAAAGTCAGATAGTTAGACTACTAGTTTTTGATGAATCGATACAGATATTGATACCAGAGTAAATTCTATAACACGAAATATAAAAACTGTATGAGGCTGCCCCACCTTCCCCTACCGACTTTAAAATGTATGTATTTGCGCCTGACATAACATAAGAAGCAAATTAAGATTGGACGAAACCTATATTTTTATTTACAGGCATAAGTTATAAGATACTAAACAGTATCTACTAAACTACTAACTAAACTAACCTTTATCTAAGAGACTACTTATATTCAGTTAGTTCAGTCTATTTAAATATTTATATCATACGACCTGCTGATAAAGATAGACACAGATGTATATTTGTAACACGAAAAACTTCATTTCATCTATCATTTCTTTTATATTGCGCCAGTTATATCTCATAAAAATATTATTTAAGGCTAACATCAACTTAGGCTATTGTTTAAAATCATTTTTTAACTCTTTATTTTTCAGCCAGTCAGTTGATGGTAAGATAGTTGCACGTGTCGATGGGCGCCCATGGTAGGGTATCCATGGACACGTGCAAATCAAGAGTAACAGATGCTTTGTCAGCCTTTGAGTAGAATAAATATAATTTTACTGAAAATATTTTAAAGGTATAATAATAAAATTTCATGCGTTCAAGTTCATTCTAACCGGCATCGCACAGAGAATCAGTGCGCTAAAGTGGAAATGGGCCGGTCATGACTCCAGGCGGACTGATGGTCGCTGGAGCAGACATCTGCTAGAGTGGGGACCGCGATTAGGCAAACGTAGTGTAGGGCGCTCTGCGGCACGATGGACGGACGACTTGAAGAAAATGACTGGCGGCGGAAGGATGCTGATTACCCAAGAATGGGATGGTTTGCGCTCCTTGAGGGAGGCCTTCGTTCAGCAGTGGATGGCGATTGGCTGATGATGATGATGAGTTTCATTTTGGAGATTATTTGACAGCAAAATTGTAAGCGTGTAACTTCTAAATGACTTTTACTTTTATTTATATATATTATTTATATCACTTCACGATTAGACAAAATGATTAAGTACTACTCTGTCAAAAAAGTACCGGGAAAAAATAATTAATACACAAAATGTTTGTTATTCATTCAAATTTATTTTATCATCTTCAAAGTATGCTCCTTCAGAAACATTACATTTACGCCCACGAATAATCTAATCATCAAAACTTTTTTTTAAACGCTGTTTCCGGAATTGTTCAGTTCTCGCCGCGAATTCTCCTTTATGTCTTCTACCGATGGAAAACGGGTGCCACGAAGTGGTAATTTGAGTTTAGGAAAAAGAAAAAAGTCGGCTGGAGCCATATCTGGTGAATATGGTGTTTGCTCGATGGTATTTGTTGTGTTTGGTAAAAAAATCGTTCACAATGATGGCCTTGTGCGAAGGTGCATTACAAATACATAATACACAAAATCTAAATCGAATTTGCTCTCTTAAATGCCTCATAACGCTCAAATAATGACCTTCCGGCAATAATTCCGAGTGCACAACACCGCGATAGTCAAAGAAAACAGTCAACATGACTTTGACTTTTGATCGACTTTGGCGTGGTATTTTCGGTTTTCCGAAGCTTGTTGACTAGTTTGAATATCAAACTCGTAAACCCACGTCTCGTCACCAGTAATAATGCGTTTCATGAATGTTGGGTCGGAATTGACTCGTTCTAGCATGTCCTCATTGACTCTCATGCGATTGAGTTTTTGTAGAAAATTCAGGTCTTTTGGGACTGGACGAGCGGTAACATGTTTCATACCCAAATGATTAGTTAAAATGGTATGGATCGACTCGTGAGATACAGAAAGTTCGGCGGCTATCTCTCTCAAAGTTGAATGAGGATTTTCAGTCACTATTTCCTTCACTTTTGCGATGTTAACTTCAGTTGCAGACGTTGATGGCCTACCAGAGCGAGGCAAATCTTCCATCACATCTCGACCGCTTTTGAACGCTTTGTATCACTCATAAGCACGTGTTTTTGATAAAGTCGATTTACCGTAAGCCTTCTGTAACATTTTCAGTGACTCCGAACACGAAATTCCATTGGCGATGCAAAACTTAAGACAAAACTCTTTGTTCGATGTTTTTGTCCATTATGAAATTCGCAATACACACTAGATATGATATAACTAATAACAGCACTGTATTTAATATAAATAACAGATGCAACAGTTATTAAAACAGTTGTGTCAGTCTAACAACAACAAAAAGAAACAAAAATTTGAATTTGGAACCATAAACAAATCCATTCCCGATACTTTTATATGACTTACCTTTAGATACTAGAACCACCCATGTAAATTATTACGCTCTAATCCATCATAAAGTTTCATATTGCTTTTTGTAATGTAATATAGCCGCTCTTTATACATTTTGTGTAGGAAACACCTGTTTCGGATACTTTGTTAACCGCTCAACTTGTTCATTAATCTCTCTCCGACAATTACAAGAAAAATATATACGAGTATGGCTCTTGGATCCCATACATTTTATTTTTGTTTTGTATAATTGACATTATATAATTGCGAAAATTGTGTTAACACAAGTGTGTGTCCTTTGCTATACACACTGTATGTTTTCCGAACAACATAAGATAAAATAAATACTCTCCTAGTCAACCATTAAGTGTTGCAGAGAAAAAAAGAATCATCAAAATCGGTTCACCTAGTCAAAAGTTCTGGGGTAACAAACGTAAAAAAAAAATACAATCGAATTATGAACCTCCTCCTTTTTTTGAAGTCGGTTAAAAATAGGAAGTTGCTGATTTTTAATCCAAACATATTCAAGTATTATCATCTAAATATGTTCAAGTTTCAGGCTTAGGAGATTAATAACCACAATCAAGCCGAGGATCGAACCAAATGACGGGAAATTGGAGAGGCCTATGTCCAGCAGTGGACTGCGATGAACTGATGATGATGATGAACCACAATAAATCTTAATTCAATGTTAATTCGTTTGTTTGTTACGCTTTCACGCCTAAACTACTAAACCGAGCTTTAAAAATTATTTCACCAATGGAAAGCTAATGTAGCTTTCCATTGGTGAAATAATAGCGACTAACATAGTCTACTTTTTACTGCGATAAGCGATACACACGAAGGCGGAGCCGTGGGCAAAAGCTAGTATTACATAAAGTACTAACGGTACAGTAATTAGGTCTATCTAAGCGATGCTTGCATCTCAGCATGTCGAGCAATTCAAGTCGACGCGCTGAAATTTCTGCACACACAGCTAGCACCTCGTCGGGAATAGGGTTAAGACGTGATGAAAACTGCTGCAGTACATGTGAACCTGTAACAAATAGTTTATGGTTCCTTATTCTCTTATTTGCAGTATTAGAAAATGGCATACTCTATACTTGAACCAAATATAATATGGAATCTTTGTAAACAAAAGTTTAGAGTTGTCATTTTCAGAATGCCAAAATGTTGCAATTTTCTCATTGTTGCCTTTTCAAATAGGTAATGCCAGAAACCGGTACCCCATGTCGCTTAAATAATTCTGATCTTCATTATAAAATGGTATGCAATGGCCGCAAATCTACTCAGTTACCTAATGTAAAATCGATTTGGTATGCAGCTCCAGCGACAGCTAAATTTTATATGGCGTACTAAAACAGTTGTGTGTCAAAGTTGAGATGACACTCACAATTGACACTATGTAGTCAGTAACGAAGCAAACAGTCCGTTTTGAGTTTCATGTAAACATAGCACGATCTATGTAGTTTAGGTACTAATATCTATTGTAAATATAAGTGTAGGCGTTAACGTATATTTTTCGTAGGTCGTGAAGCTGTTGGGCGCCAAAATTACAAAAAACATTGACTTCTCTGGAGCTTGAAGTCAACTTTTATTATTATAAAAATGACTCTTTAGAATCAGATTTATAGTTTCGTCAGTGACAGCAGGGCTACAGGAATATATACATCATATGAAGAAATTATCTCGCCCGCCGTTTCACCTCGCTTTTCTACAGGCCAGAACAAGCAATCACTCTTACCAATAAGACTATTTATCTCCAGGTTTCTGAGAGCATCCACATCATCTCGCACTAGTAGCAGTATATCGTGGGCTGGCCATCCCTTCATGGACACTACCTGTAAGTTACCCACTGAATCCTCGGGACTAACAGACAAGCGGTTCTCCAATTCCTTCAGATTGGCGTAATTTTCCAAAACAGTGCTCTAAAACGTACAATAGGAATTTTGATTTATATCAAAGGAAAGATCTTACCATTAGTACTTGCTATTGTAATACTTATATTAAAGGTAATTTGTCGTAGCTGATCCAGCAAAGAAAAACGTAATGGGTATATATGTGTGATCTACGGGGTCTATAAGTAGAAGAGAGTAAAATAGCGAACGATACATGAAAAAAGGGACAATTGCTACGTCTTACTATGGTTATCACGCTTCTATAGTTCTCATCTTAAGGGTTCGATGTAGTTTAGTTTGAAATGAATTAAAGTCAGTAAAATTAGAAGCTTAAATTGTTAATAGCGAATAGGTAAGATGGTCTGGGATGTATAATTATAATTATATATATATACCTTTATAAAAAAAACTTCACCAAGTCCATACAAACCTCTTCACCTACGAGTATCTGCGAGTTATACTCGTATAGACTTTCAATTAAGTATGTAAGTATGTAATGAGCATTATCTTTGCTATTGTTTGTTTGTTCTTTAAAATATTAGTATGAATAATCTATAAAAATCTATTCACGAAACTCAAGAAACAAAAATACTTACTTGTTGTGCAATCAAACTCTTGCGCAACTTTAAGAACTCGCGTTTCTTTATTGCCAGAATACGTGACATTTTAGTCAGCATACATTGTGGAATAACCGTATTTTTTTCTGAAAGTAAGAATACCTATTACTAAACCGTAACAGATAATGGTGGAACCATTATCTATTACAGTTTGACTTATGGGTTAACTTGAGGGGTTTACTAGTAGCGAATACTTCCAGTGCAGTCAAAAATAATAATAATATTCTTTGTGTATTACGTTTACATGACATGCAATAGCTTAAATTGTTGCACGTAATAGGATATTTGATAACGTGGGAACATTACACAAACTTTGGATTTGCGATATTTTTATATTCACGATATGAGTTATGAGTAAAAAGAGAGATATTTTTTTTCCAACTACTTAAATTTTCACAGAACCTTAGATGTTTAAGGACACTAATTTTTTTAAGTTAACTAAGCTAAAAACTAAGTTTAAATACCATTATACATTTTATTCATGTTCTCGTCTTTTCTCTTTAATTATTAGTAACAAATAAATCCTATTCTACTTGACAACAAGCTATAAATACCTTCATCTTGACCCATTAATCGTGAGGGTGAAACTGCTTCGTTCCCATTACTGTGGTCAAGAGATGGCTTCTGCCCTTGCATGCCCTTAAAATAACCTTAAGATAAATATAAAGAATAATAAAGATATAACTACTATATGGTATATTGTGATAGTTCGTATAATGTAATGGCAAATCTTAATGTTACGTGTTTATCTCTCAAAGATACGAATCATGAATCATGAATATTATATTCAGGCGGAAGTTATTTAATACCAAAGAACAGGTAATAGTTTTAAAGTACAGAAAGTTCACTAATACCAAAACAGATATTGGCGACTCTATTAATAGCGCATGTAAGTACCAGTTTACCATAATAAAAAAATTGTGGATCCGTATGTGTCAAATCTTTACACACTGTGTTGAGTTCAATAGGTACTAAACATTTAAGGAAGTCATACGATATCGATTATTGATGCTTGTAGGTTGTAATTAGTACAGTAAATCCAATACGGGTGAGTCGCTAAGAAGTAGCGAGATGGACCGAGCCCATACAGCTATCAACATACAATCAACTTCCTTAAATGTCGTAATATTAAGTGCAGTTTTTATTACTTTTTATACTAAAAACAACATTTACTTACTGTTCCTGTCAAACTTTTAGATCTTACTTCAGCTCTCGTCGGCGATGTCTGAAATGACATTTGCTTTATAAATTGATAAATATTAAAGAACTAGCTAAATACTATACTAGCTAAACTAATATAAAGCTACATCTAAGGAGGAGATAGTTTTAAGCCAGCAGTGTGCTTGTGCAGCATACATAGTCCTTAAGTAAATGAATTAAATTAGAAAAATGGACTAAATTTTCGTTACAACATTAGTTTCAAAATTTCCTAGTCTTCTCATAACTTTTTCTACGGAGAGTCTGTCTCCATCCTAATCCAGAATCCAAATCTAAAGTTGAATCTTCCTCAAATTTATTTTTGCGACAAAAAGGAGTAGTAGGTATGTATGTCCTATGTTCTTTAGGTTCCGTCTACCTCTATAACTGAAATTTATCAAAATCCGTTTAGTGTTACAGGTTTCAAGTAAATAGTAATGAGATAGGAACCTTTTATTAACATTAAATATTATGAATATTATTAAAAACTAACAATTGCCCAAATATGCATACACCATTTCGTGGTGTCCAAAAGAAAGAAAGCGAGCAATTAAACATTTAGGACGAACACTTCGAATATATATGATAGGTTGTTTTTATATTCAATTTATGGACACTGGTGAAGTGACTGACATAGTTCCTTCAAGTTTTGGATTTTTTGTTTTCAGGTTGTGGCGTTAGCTCCAAGAATTAAACCACCCGCTGCGACAAAAGGTGTGTCTACTATATTATATTGTTTACATCAAATTACTTGCTTTAAAGATTCCATTCCATTTCCAAAACAATTTATCAATTCATTAATCAGGCAGAGAAATCGATAAGGTTTCTATTCGAAAAGGATAGCCTTTGATCAGCAATACAATATACAATACACATTGTCTCGTTGATCGGAGATATCGAATTCAGTTCATGAATATTTAGCCTAACTTAAGCAAGAGCCGATAATAATTTTTTAATGCTACTTTTCAAATTTAAAGGGCTGTGACTTCCCAGCAATAGGTAGTTCGACTTATAGCTATACGTTTCGTACAAATAATATCACTGTCTTTCCATTCCCTTTCTGTGGCTGATAATAAAAGGAAAAAACTCACCTTTAATCGTCCTGTTACGGGACTTAGCGATTGGGGCCTCTTGTAAGGCATAGTACGTCCCAGTTTCTTTTTGGTCTCTAATAACAATATGTACAATCTTAGTAGATGTTTAAACAATATTTTTATGTTTGATCTGAGGCTTGATGTTTTAAACAGTTTTCTTGACTTGGGTTACATTTCTCGCTACTAATCAACTATACTTTACGTAAAAGATTGCTGTTTTTTTTTATAAAACCCTACAAAAATTTTGCTTGTTTGTAGACCAAAAATATAAAATTAAGCTATTTCCACATAACTTTTTAAATTTAGGTACACACTGGACTTTTTAAATTTTACTTTCTGTATATATATAAATTTGTTAGTAAATATGGAAATTCTAACTCGACTCTTTTTGTGTAGTACTCTAGATGGGATTATTGTCTTGCATTTGTTAAACACAGAATATTCAGCTGTGCACAAGTAACAGGTAACAGGGCCTTATATTCTGTGTACGTAAGACATCCAAAAAAATGTTAAGGTATTCTTTGGACACTCGGTATGTTGTTTTATAATAAAACTACTATCACTGTTTCTGTCATACAAGGGTTACTAAGTTTTTAAAATAAAATATGCATTCATAAGTTGTTTATAGAATTCTGAATTTTTAGGCGCGTTGCGCTTTATCGCAGAGTGTCGAACTATGACTACCTCTACTACTAACTACGACTATCATCTTAAGGAAATTGTGGGATACCTGTCATGTTTTTCCATACTTATAAATGTGAAAGTGAGTTTGTTTGTTTGTCACGCTGTCACGCCTAAACCACTAAACCGATTTTAAAAAATCTTTTACCAATGGAAAGCTACATTATCAGCGAGTAAGATAGGCTTATTTTTACCGCGATAACCGACATACACGCTAGCTAGTATTGACATATTTCTTAAATAACTATACTATTTCATTGCTTAACCTTAAAAAAACCAGTAAAATATTAGCAATAATATATATTATTATTATGTTATTTATCATTGGCCTCGGATTACACAAAGTAATAAATTCTTTTTATCAGTATTAAACAGATATAATCCTTTGAAGACAAGGTAATAGGTATAAGTATTGATCTCAAGTAGTATATCAGTAGCAATACACTAGAGATATAGAATTCTATTTACTAAATATATTGCTTATTTTGTCATTGTCTAGCCGCGACCCGTTAATTTTCCCCATTGTTTCGTATCATAGAAGTGACACAAACTTACAACCCGACGACGGATAGATATTGGTCAGCAGATAAGAGGAGTGATACCGACCTGTAGCAATGTATAAAAAATCATCTACCCCCTCCCCCCGCACCGGGCCGAGAAAAATAATTAAGCTCTCCCCATGACGCCAATAGCTGGGGACGCTCCGACACGATCTGAATAATATCGATCGGATGCCAATCGTCCAATTTCTTAAGTGACAAAGATTGTTAAGGTAAGCGGAAGTATTTGTGTACACTTTTATGTGGCTGGCTACTCTATTCCCTATCATATTCTAAGACAGTCCATAGATTAGCAGCATCAGCAGCAGTATTAAGACACAAAGATTATCATTTTGAAATCATCAGAGTGTCAAGCACATCGACTTTTGCGGAACCCTGATACTCGCGATCGGTTGTAATCTTCTTTAGAAACTCTCAAAACTATATAGCTCATGTCTAAGTAATTTATAAAGTTACTTACTCTGTATGATTTATAATATACCAACTATGTTAGACGAATATGTTTTTTTTAATTTTAACACTACCGCTTTATAATTAAAATATTTCAAGAATACACTTTCAGATGATGCTGTTCAGAAGGGTTAGGATTAGTTTCCGATGGATGGAATATTTCATCAGTGCACCGCGCCACCGAAAGTGTGTCTACTTTTTCATATTATGGCGGGTATCATTAATGGTTAACTACATACTCTAAAGTGACAATATAGAAAGATAAACGGTCTAATACCTCTATGTACAGTGGACAAATCACTTGGTTGCAACATCCTTACTGCTTTTCTGATTAGTTTTGCTATTGTAATGAAATGATCAAAGGAGACAACTTGTGAATTTTGACAGCTCTTTAAGGCAAAGACAAACAAGCACAGAGGATAAACAAATGTCAGATAGCTTTTTTATATATTCTTTTAGATAGTCTTTTAGAATTGATTCGTGCTAAGTACAGAAAGTCTAGCACTCATGTAATTTCGGTCACCGGAAATACTGATCAATTCCGTGTCTCTGTAGGCTTACAACAGGGATCGGCTCTCTTCCTATTGATAATGGATGCTCTGAATTCGGACATACAGGAGGGGGCACCTTGGCGCATGCTATTTGCAGATGACACTGTGTAGGTCGGTGAAGACGGGGGTGTGGTCCAGAGCAGACTGGAAAAATGGCTACAAAGGTTGGAAAATGTTGGCTTGACCTGCAGAACTAAAACCGAGTACATGTTCTACGATTTCAGCGGTCTCTCCGGTCCTGAAACCATTTCGATGGATGGGATAGCGATAAGAGTCTACTCCAATTTCAAGTACCTCGGCTCCATCTTACAATGTGATGGTGAGATTGTTCGAACTGTACAGCATCGAATCAATGACGTGGCGGCAGGTAGCGAGAACCATTTGTGACCCCAGTTTCCCCTTAACACTGAAGGGACAAATTTATAAAACTGTCATCAGACCTGCCGTCCTGTTTAGTTCTGAAAGTTGGCCCATTAAGAGAACGGGTGAGAGACGCCTGAACGTAGCCGAAATGCGAATGCTGAGATGGATGTGTGTGTGACTTGGATGGACAAGCTTAGAAATGATTATATACGAGGGATCTGAAAGTCCAATGGATGAAAAGTTAAGAAGTAATAGGTTATCTTGGTATGGACATGTCATGCGAAGGGATAAGAAAATGTGGCGAAGAAAGTTTTAGGTATGGGAGTTGAAGGGTACAAAAGATGAAGAAGACCAAAGAAAAGGTGGACGGACTGTGTGAATGAGGATATAGCTAGGAAAAGAGGAAACACTGTGATGACGCATGATAGAATAGAATGGAAGAATCAAACTTACTGCGCCGACCCCAAATAAAGTTAGGATAAGGGTAGGCAGATGATGATGATAATGACGTGGGAAAGACATGCGACGGCACATATGGGCCGGCTTAACCAATACCACGACCTAAAAAAAAACCGATGTTCTGAAATTCTTTCGTGGCTTTTCACAGTGAGTACCCTAACCTTGATTTTACCTTGACTTTGACCTTACCATCAAGTGACCGGTCTATTCGTTTACGAAATTCGTATACTATAAAAAAAACTTAGAATTATTTTCAAATTGTTTACGTTTTACATCATTGAGGAGTCTTTAATACGACATCACTACGTGAGTTTAAATTAGGTATTGTTATAAAACCTTATCATTATTAACATTTGAAATATTGACAAACTAGTAAGCACTTATCAAACAGAAGGATTAAATTTATCTTTGCCCTAATTTGAGAGAAAACACTCATGTTCAATTGTTTTAAAATTAACTTAGTCAGAGATAAACTTTGTAATGTTGTGTCTAAGTTTTTAAAGAAGAATCGAAAGGTAGAATCATTTTGAACGTTATTCGGGTGTCTTTCAAAGATACTCTATATTCTTAAATCCAGCCCCGGTTCTAGGGGGGAGGGGGGGTTGCAAATCGGGGTAATTATTACAGTTAATTTAAAATTATATATTTTCTAATTGTTAGCAATAATTTAACAAATAACTATAATAACAACCGGTGTTCGAGTATTTGTTATAGTACTCCGGGATTCCGAAAATTCTAACATCAATCCTTGCAATGCAGTAAGGGCTGTAGTAGTGACTGCATCTTTATCATGGGAAAACCATGCTTTGGCACACATGGGCCAGGTTCGACCAGAGTGGTACGACGGCCTCACAAAAAACTAGTGGTCTGAAAAAGTGGGTGATCCCTCTGATTCTGAGGAAGGGACTGAAACGGTGACGAATTTGTGACTCTCGAGTTGCAGATGTCAATGTGCGGCGATAGTGACTTACCTACCATCAGGGCCTCAATTCTTTTATTTGATGTTAACGTACAAGCCACTGTCATTCCACAAGCTATTGAGATGCCATTGACATCGGTCCACATATCGGTATTCTACTAACATAAATTCACAGTGTCAATAGACTGTTGGTGTAGTGGCAATGGCTCATCGCTCCGTACAACGGCAATCGTTGTACGGAATAGTTTAACGCTTGAGTGCCATGATATTACTTTATCGAAATGATAAATAAATATACTGATACCACGATGTGTTAACAAGCTATTGCTTCTTGTTAAGTTTAAGTGCATAATAATTTATTTACCTACATACACTCTCTACACTATATTTATTTCAGTGTAAGATGAATGTACATTTGAGAGGTTTTCTTCCATCATAACTTCTAAGTGCCAACACATTATCGTTAGAATCCTGACATCGTTTTTTTAGTTCGGGCAAGTGTAGTCATTATCATTGTATTAGTAACTTCTTACTCGTTTCGTAAGTAAAAAGGTGATTTTCCAATCCTAAAAATACTCACTGCGGCTTTTCAGTGTTTAATTGCTTATACGCCGAAGGTGGGTCCCCTAAAAGATTACTATATTGACCATCTGTCTGTCTATCTGTTCTAATATTAAATATTTATTTCTGAGGTGTGCCTAAAGTTAAGGCCTAGTTAATAGCAAACATACAATGCTCGCATTTGTCTGGTTTTTTTATGATATCAGTAAATAAAGCTCATCAAAGCAAGTAAACAAAATGAAAATCGAATCGAATACGAAAATCGATACATAACCAGATACAACATTAATTGTATAGTTTCAAGCTTATTAAAAAACTAACTTTTTAATGAAAAATAAATAGGACAATCAGTTGATGAGAAAAAAAATTCTTACTTTATATATTTTCATAAGAGTATTATAAGAAACTCTAAACAATACTATAAATCTAAATAGACATAAATTTATTAAAGCCCTGAAATATATTAATTACATTCATTACCCATACTTAATAGAAAAATAAATTTTAATGTAATTTCAAACGAAAATTTGTTAACAATTGTGCGAAATGATTTTGCCGCTGATAAGGAGAAGTTCTCACCAATGTTATATAAAATCGTTATTTTTATTTGTATAATACTTACAATAATGTTATATAGTCGTGCCTTAGTCGGTCAATTGATTAAAATTTAAATAGTAAAGTAGCACATAAATTTGAACTAATCAAAATAAATAAATTGGAAATTGAGTATTTGCAACTCTTGAGTCGCCGGACCAAAGGTATTCGACAATTGAACAGCAGTTGATCTTTGGTAATGTGTCTGGTGAAAGGACATCACGGCCGGTTTTAAAAATAAAATACTACACAGTAAATTATTGAAAGAAAATGTAATGGATAGTATAACCAACATATTTTAACCTACTAGCTCTTTATTTACCATATTATTGGTAAAACGACGTTTTGACCGAATAGAACCAATCGCTATGAACAACTGTATCTTTAATTCCACATATGTATATTAGCCAAATAGTAGCTAAACATATGGTGACACTAACTGCATAATATGCTATATCCGCCACAAATACCCAACCAAACAATATAGTACTACAATTTTGAATACCTCACTTTGCGAGAATAAGAGAGATAAAATTATTAAGATAATTAATTATAGTATTCGTAGAGACGTTTAACAGCTACCTAGTGGATCGCATCATTTTGTTTTATGCCTATCCAAGAAACTCGCACTGCTCAAACAGGTCTGATGGGTGCTGAGTTTCGCGTTCAAAGCGTACAAACGCGTGTAAGAAAGTCTTGGATCTACCTTTGAAATAGCTTTCTTTTTTTTCTCTCCAGGCTGAATTGGGATTTCTGGTCCTCAATTTCTCGAGGCTTAGGAGTCGGTTTCAAATATCTGTGCCTCCTTGCGCCACTAATACAGAGCCGCAAGGGCTCTCGCCTCTAGGTCTTACGTTGGAGCTCCGGGCAGGAGACTCGCCGCCTCAAAGGAGATCGTGCGGTACCCCCTTATGACCCTGATGGTCAGCACTCGCTGTGTTTGTCACAGTAGTGCTACGTTGCTGGCCTTCAGGACCTCAGGCCCTCCTGTGCCCTGCGTGTTGATGGCACACTTTTGACAACAACTTTATTTGGTTACGTAAAACACGGTTGTAAATTACAACTTTGAAATATTCACGTCACGTTATCGTTGTGGTATAAGAAGATAGATAAATATTAGAAACTACTACTAATTCTTTGTTATTTAATGTGTATCGAATATAAATTCATGTTACTAAGATTTCAATCCACGCCTCTACAAAGTATTGGTTCAATAATAATGGATAAAGTAGATATTGTATAACAAGAATTGTTGTGTAATAATTCCGTCTGTTGTTTTGAAATGGTTCCTAAAGATTTGGGTAATATTGCCCCAATTCTAACGGGTCAGTGTTGAGTGGATGCTACTCTGATATCCTAATCCGTCCGTAAATATTACTTAATTCCTGATTACACCAACAACACCGTAATCAGTAGGTAACAATAGAACGAGTATATTTTCACGGAATATAATTTATTTGTTTGATTCAATGTAATCATGATCTTAAACAACAAAATATTAATCAAATCTATTTCCCAAAATTTATGAAAAAAAAATATGAAGAAAATCTGTCCAAGATCTTCTTTGATCATTATTTCTGTTTACCGTAACGATATGGAGCAAAGTAATCCTTCCTTTGCAGACAATTTCTATGTGGTTTGTATAGAAGTCTGTCTAACCCAACCCCGTGTATTACTCTGAAATAGTTTAAAATTAAACAGCAAGACTGCGTCCAGACATGTACACTGCGCTTTATAATATATAAGAAAACGCACAGCGATTTGTGCCTCGAGAATATAACCTGATAGTACAAACACCTCTTCCCAAGAAGTAGTATTTTTTTTATCAACAATCGCCAATACTACTACAATATACAATATTCAATTC